CATCAGGCCAGGACTGGGATCCTGTCTCTTGACCCCTGGCCCAGGGCTCTTTTGCACGGTTCTCACTGAAATTTTATGTGAAAGCCTTATTTTTGTCCTGCAGACAGGAGGGAGATTGAGCCCCAGGAGTCTTGGTACCACAGAGTGTAGATTTTGAGATCCTCATTTGTGAAAGGTTTGTGCCAGAAATGGATGGGAGTTTAATAAAAGAGATGCTGGAGATTATCTCATCACTCTTGCCCTTGAGTATGTTGGGGAAAGCCAGGGAGATGGGCAGGGGAAGCTGAAAGCTGAGGCTCCATTCTCATATCTAAACTCTCCATTAACCAATTTAAAGGGTCTTAAAAGCTTCTCCAAGAGAGCGACATAGAAAAAAATGATTTCTGAGTCAACGCTAATGACTCCAATTACTGAATTTGTGCATAGCTGTTCCCCGGCTTCTGGATGTTAGCCCAAGTTCAATAGCAGAGATGTGGTTGAGGGTGCAGGGTGGGAGGGACTGAGGACCAAGCCCCTAGGAACTGTTCAAATGGGAAAGAACACCCAGCATGGCTAGCTCCAAGTGGGGAGGATCTGGGGAGGGAAGTTCTCTACATTTCTCTCTCTGCCAGCCGCACCCCCTCCCACTTCTAGTGGTCTCGCCACTGGAGCCCTAAGCTTCCTTCAGCTCCCGCGTCTCCCCTGCTCTCTACTCACTTTTCAGGGTTGCCCCGTACACGGACCTCACCCCCCTGGTCCCCTCCTGTGACTTCCTCCCACAGATGGTTCCTTGGAAGCAGGGACTTTTTCTTTGGATTCCAGTACCCTCAGCACTTAGCATGAGGCTCCGTTGTGCAGGTAAGGGCTCAAGACACACACTGGTTAAAGCTCAGGGTTTGAAGCTAGGCAGTGCACTCATCTCTCTGCCAAAAAAAAAAAAAAGCTTCTGTGGTCAGATAAGTTTGGGAAACACTGCACTAGACATCCCCTTTTTATAGATCAGCATATTCAAGGTTCCAAGAAGTCCTGCAGTAAAGAACTTGGTTAACCAAGTGCTCCCCTCCCCAGCTCCCCTCAGATAGCTGGTGAGCCTTCCTGGGGCACCCCTGTGTAAAGTGTCACTTCCTGCCTTCCCATGGAGCCACGCTCCCCAGCCTCTTCCCCTCCTTTTGTCCCTGGGGGTTCTCTGATTATCAGCTCCTCTGGTCATGCCTGGGGCCAAGGGGCAGTTCAGACAGTCTGGGGACCCTGGGCCTCCTGTGGTGATGGCCGGGTAGGGCTCTCCCTCCCCCTCGATTGTTACAAATTAAGTACTAATCCAATCTGGCATGCCAGATACAGAGGGGGGATATTTTTAAGCTCCCGTTGTGGAGAAGGAAGGATGGAGAGTCTTGAGAGGAATGTTGTCAAGGGACCAAAAATTCTAGGCTGTTTCAGTCCCTGTGGTCTCTGTACAGCCCCAGGGGATGGGCTTCCTTGCAGCCCCTGGAACTGCTGTGCTTTTGCCATTAAAATTCCTCTATTAATGACTCATTGTCAGTGCCCTGAAAGGAAATGTGAGGGGAGGCTAGGGAGGTGGCCCCTGTTAGCAGGGCCAACCTGGGTCCAGATGACCCAATGTTGGAGCTCTGGTGCTCTCAGCAGTGAGCCCTTTGCCAAGGCTCTGCTGCCTCAGTTTCCTTTTCTGGAGACGCTGTTTTCAGAGTGCCCTGCCGCTGTGGCTTCCCTGGTGGCTTAGTCGGTAAAGAACTCGCCTACAGTGCAGGAGACCCGGGTTCAATCTCTGGGTTGGAAAGATCCCCTGGATAAAGGAATGACTACCCACTCCAGTATTCTTGCCTAGAGAATTCCATGGACAGAGGAGCCTGGTGGGCTATAGCCCATGGGGTCACAAAGAGTCAGACATAACTAACACTAACTTTTCACTGAAACTGCAGACGCTGTTTGGTTCATTCTACCTTCAGTGCAGGGCATTTAGCAAATGTTCAGTAAATTTCATTCAGTGAATGAGTGATTCTATGCATTATCTTCTCTCCACCTAACATCAGCCAGTGCCAAGACTACCCAACACATAGGAATTGCTTTAAAATGTTTAAGTGAGTCCGTGTACCCCTCCCCCCACTGCCATTCCTAGTGCTACTTTTGACCCTTTGTAATTACTCATAAATACAAAATGTTTGTTGAATGAATGTTTCTGATCATGCCTCCCACCCCCTGACTCACTATATTGTACCCACTTACTCAGTAGGGACTAGAAAATACTGACCTAGTTTCTAGGTGCACACTGCGTGCCAGGCTGAGCCTGTGCTGAAACTTCCCCTCCTCTTCCTGTCTTGCTGTGTTGGGGATTCGGTTCTCTCCAGAGTCCCAAGGGTGGTAGTTGCTATATCCCTCTCATTTCAGTCAGAGCAGAGGTAGGGTCAGTGAGCTGCCAAGCTGAAGTTGGGTGACAGACAGGGAGGCTGCCTGTCAATCTCGAAACTGCCCCCGGGCTCCAAGTGAGCACCGCGTTGTGGCGCTCCTAGTGCTGGAGAATGGCTGACTATTGATAAAAAAAATATGTGCCCCTGCGCTTTCCAAATTAAGACGACATTTAACCGAGTGCTCGCTAGCTCGCCTGCTCCTTCAGTCTCCCAGGGGACAGAGCCCATCTTGGTGAAAGATGTTTGAGCATGTCCAAAGCCTCAGCTCTGACATCTCAGCTGATGTCAAGAAGTTTCTGTAACCTTTCCGTTCAGCACACTCAGTTCTATCAGCATATGCACTGTCTCACTCTCAACTGTTTCTTGGGGGAAAGGGCTGGCATCAGACCTTGGAGGGGTTGCAAGGTTTGGGCAAGAGCACCAAGGCTCACCAACATACACCCCAGCCCTGATCAAAGGTTGGTTGCCTCAGAAACAGCTCTACCTACAAGTTCTTCAGATTCTGTGGGGAATCGAGGATCACAGTGGTCCTTAATCTTATTTAGGTCACAGACCCCTTTGAGAATCAGATGAAAGCACTGTCTCCTTCTCATGGAAAAGTACGCATCCTCCCAATTTTGCATGCCATTCAGCAGATCCTTAGATCCCAAAGCTCGACCAGGAACCCCAGGTTAAGGACCCTTGATATATCAGAAAGAACATCATCTGAATTTCAGATGTAGAAGCTAGCTCTGCCACAAGCCTGCTGTGTGGCTCTGGGCCAGTCAGTCCTTTCTGTCTTGCTATTTCTTGGCAATAAAGCATTCAGACTCCTTGTGATTAAAACTGCCTGTCTGTGGAGGTTTAGTGACTTAGAGCAGTGCTGCTTACCTTTTTTATAGGTCACATGTTCCTTTGAAAATCTGATAACTCTGTATCTTCTGCCTAGAAAAAAAGCCTGTACACAAAGTTTTGCCTAGTATGCAGGGGTTCTAAGGACTACAGATTTAGGTCTTTTGAACTAGAGGGAGGCAGTGATCCAATTTTGAGCAATGGTTCCAGTTTCTTTAGGTCATCTCCTCTTATCTCTTCTCTCCATCTCCCAACATCAGCTCTGCACTGAAAATCCACTAGTGATTGGGGGTCAGCACTGTTTACTCCAGTGCTATGGTTTTCAGACTGTTTTCATGTAATGGAACCTGTTTTGTTTTGTTTTTTTCCTCTCTTTTCTAATGAAGTCTTATACCTGGAGCTCCAGTATAGAGAAAAGGGAATCCTGTAGCATTTCTGTACCCACTGTTTCATTTTTTTCTTCCATTCAACAAGTATTCATCAAGTGTTACCTTGGGCTAGGTGCCTTGCTGCTCAGATTGGAGACCCTACCTGCTTGGTGTCCCCCAGCCTCTTTCATTGGCTTGGGGAACCAAACAGCTTGCAAATCAAAGATCTTGTAAAGAGGTCATTCTGCCCTGGAGTGAGATGTCAGAGACCAAGAGACTCTGCTCCCAGAGCTCCTGAAGCACTTTGGGGGCCCCATTTTATTCATCTGTAAAATGGGATAATGGAATAGTGATGCCTCACTACATTCCAAGTATGGATGATTTTCATTATCCCTAGATGGGGGTATGGTTGGCACCTTTCAGTGAACGGTGAACATGTGTTCTAAGCTCCGGAAAAGGACGAAAGGAGAGGCACAGAAATTTTTTCTTTAGTATCAGGGGGAGCCTTCACATTGTTGAGAAGCTGAATAGACTGAACCTTGAGAAAATATTTTGCTGTTTTTTTTCATCCCCTCCTCCCCTGGAAGGTTTGCTGCTGTCAGCGTCAATTTCATAGACCCAGTTCACACACTGTCCTCTAGGGCCTGAATTCACTGCTGTGACACAGGAAGGTTTACCCACAATCAGTGGGTCTGGAAAGATGACTTCTGCATCTGAAGGGCTGCTTGCTAGGGAAGGACAGGAGTCTGGAGAGGCCCAGCCTGCATTAGGTCAGTGACAAGTCCCTCTCATTCTGTGATCGGAAGAGCAGAGATGTGCAGCCTGAGAGGCTTTGGAAATATACTTTTCAATATTTTTCCTGAGGGGATTTCAGGCAAGTCCACTCTGGCAAAAGCCCACCTGTGGTAGCTCTTCCTTTCTTTTCCTTGGCTGGCAGTCTAGTGCCAAAGTCGAGAGCATGGGTATTGGTGTTGGACAAGCCTAGTTCCAATTTCTGGCTCTGCCTCCTTTCTCTGCTTGATCTTGGGCAAGACACTCAGCTTCTCCCAAGTCTCATGGCCTTGTATGTGAAATGGGGATAATAACACCTCCCCTCCTCGGGTTGTGAGGAAATGAAATTAAATCCTATTGTAAAGACTGGTGCCTGGCCCCTGTTAATACTCTATAAATACTCATGCTTTTCTTAGCTTTAATTTTCAGCTGGGAAGCGGATTATTTGGTACTGCAGCAATAGGGGAGTGACGGTCAAGTGTACCTGTGCCCATCACCGCTGACCTAACACTGTGCACCCTCCCATCCTGGCCCAAGTGACGCTCCGGCCAGCGACTGGATGACAAGGAACCCTCACTCTACTCTTCCCTCCTCCCTGGCCCTCCTGACAGGTGCAAACAGGGTAACCACCCACTACTTTTCCTTTATTAGTAGGTCAGAGAGCTTTGCCTGGTGCCCCAGGATCCAGTCCCCAACCCTCCAGTGTGCAACCAGGCCCTCCTTCCTGCTTGGGATGCTCCTTGGCATCTGTTTTGCAAAGAGGATTAACCCTCTGTGCTCTTCTTCCATGTGTTTTGCCAGCAAACACTTAGCCACAAACTGCCTCCCTCCTCCAAAAATTCCACCGGTAGAGCCAGCACTTAACATCGGGTTGCTTTGGTCAGCCAGCTCTTTGTCCTGGGGCTCCCGCCTGCTCTGTGGGGCAGCCTCCGTCACCCTAAAGTTCTCAGGCCACCTCTGGTCAGTGAGTTCCAAGATTAGACACCAGTTCCTGTCCCAGAATCCTCAGGGCCTGGGCTTCCTAATATCTCCCGGGGTCCCCGGTTCCTGGATCCACTGGCCCCTGCTGCTGCTGCTGCCACAGCTGGTCCTGCTCTCCGTCCCCTTGTTTCCAGCTAGGCCCGTGGGGCCTTCGGAGCCCGCGGCCCCGCTGGTGGCCAGGTCTAGACTGAGGGTCCTCCCGCAGACGGAGAGCCGCCGCAGCACCTCGGAGGCGGCCTCCACCGGCACGGCGGGGCGCTGCTCTAGCAGCATCTCCAGCAGCGAGCTCATCTCCGACAGGAAGGTGCTGGCCAGCCGCGTGCCTGTAGGGCTCAGCTCGGGCGCCTTGCCGAATGTCTGGAAGGTCCTGGGCTCCTCCGAGGTCGCAGAGTCCGGGGAGAACACGTTGTCACGGTAGTTGGTGGAGAGGGGCAAAGAAAGTCTTGCCATCCAGGCCGGGTCGGGGACGCTCAGCCGGTCCAGGGCCAGGCCTGCAGGGGGCGAAGGGGACGCGGTGAGGGCGGAGCCCCGGGCGGACGGGCGGGGCGCCAGACAAAGGAGGGAAGGGAAATGGGGGGGACAGATGGGGCGGCCGGAGGGGGGCGGGAAGGAAGAGGCCCTGACAGGGAAGCGCGCCGGGCAGGAAGGCAGCGACTGAGGTTCGCTCGTGAGCTGGAGTGGGGACGCGGCCGCGGGAGGAGGAAGGCCTAGAATTAGAAATTGGCCTCTTTCTAAAGCATCTCCCAGTCTCCGGGGGCGTTTCGGGTTTAGGTGGCCTCCGTCCATCCCTGAACAGCAGGATTTTCACTCCCTCAGGACAGACACCACTAGTTGAGCATGGGGGTGCTGGAGGGATTCCCCTTTTTAGCTAATGCTGTAGTTCCTGGCTTGTTGCTGCCTTCCTTTCCTATTCATAATAATAATATAATAGTGACCGCTTATTAAGTGCTTCTGTGCCAAGCAACTTACATAATTATCTCATTTAACCTCCACACACACCTTTGAAGTCAAGAGTATTTTATGGATGAGGAAACAAGTTCCAGGAAGTTCAGTCATTCATCTACTAGGCACCCAAAGCCAGATTTGACCCACAGGTCTGATGATTGGAAGCCCCCTGTACCTGTACCACTGAGACCCGCTGTCTGGAGAACTTGCCCTTCCTTTCTCCCTGGATGCTAGGTGCTCACCTGTGGTTCTGGTTTCCCTGGCCTGCTAAGGTCTGTACTGTCTCTCGCTCTCAACACCGCATGCTCTCGACACTGCAACCTTTGCCTCTCAAGCTGCAGGAAACGCTGTGAAGGGGCTGGCCGCCTAAGAGCTGTCCCAGGAAAGGGACGGGGCAGTGAAAAAGTGTCCCCCTGGCCCCAAATCCCACCATCACACTTCTCCTTTTGCCATCTCTTCAACAGAAAATCCTGTCTTAGGAAACCAGTCCCAGGCCCAGTGATAGAGGCCAGGGAAGAGGAGACAAAGCATAGGCCTTGTGGTTAAGCATCTGTATCTTAAAATTAAAAAAAAAAAAAAAAAAAGCACAACATTTACTTTAAAATGTATTTAATACTTAAGGTGAGCCGGTTTAAAATCTGTGCATAGAGTGAAAGACTGGAAAGGGATAAGTCAAAGCATTAGCTGAAATTGCCCCGGGCAGAAATGATTTATTCCCTTTTTGTTTATCTACATTTGTCTCTATTAACCAAATATTACTTTTGTGATTTTGAACAGTTATTCCAAAATACAGCTAAATGCTGTTTCTATTGATAAATGAGTCTTGTTCTTGCCTTGTCAGTGCGGGGCTAGGCAGGCTGTGAGGCAGGGTCATCCCCCTTCCAACTGGTCCAGCCCATGCCCAGGGCTTAGTGAACGTTTATTGAATGATTGAATGAACATAAATATTAACCCTGGACATTTGGGAAATGTAAACCTTAGTTCCCTGAGACTCTGGGGTAATAAGGTTGAAACTCTTCTGGTGTTACAGAATCAGGCTTTTCCTTGTACAAGGGTCAGAGAGCTTCAGAAGGAATGAAGCTTAGAATGAGAAAATCAGTGGAGTGTAGGAGAATGGCTGAAACATGATGGTGAATTCACTCCAAGGCAGGTGGGCGCCGGGCAGACCAGGGTTTGACTTCCTAGCTTTGCAGCTTATGAGCAGTGTGAACTTGGAAAACTTGCTTAATCTCTCTGAGCCTCTTTTTTTTCTCTTATAAAGTGGTGAGATAGTCACACTTATCTTGTAGGTGGCTATGAGGATGCAATGAGCTCATGCAGCCAATAAAATATGATCCTCATCACATCCCCCTGTGGGGCTTTTGTCTGGTGCGGCCGAGACCCCAGTGTCGGGCACATTCACCAGTAGCCCCGTCACGGTCCACCCTGTGGGCAGCGCAGGCTCTACCGTTGCTGTGATGTTCGTTCCCCGACTTGTTACCATCCTCCTGAGCTCCTCGCCCTCTGTGCGATGAGGAATCGGGACCCCGTGGGAACTAAGCCCACAGGTTCCTGCACAAAGCTGGGGCAGAGAGCTATAACACCAGCACTGAGGTTATCTGAAATTTTCTAATAGCCAGATTTAAAAAGTAAAAAGAAAAGGTGAAATTAATTTATGTAAGTTTTTACATTTAATATCATTTTATCATGTAATCGATATTTTAAAAATTATTAATGAGATGTTTATTTTTTCATACTAAGTCTTCAAACTCTGGAGTGTGTTTTATACTTCTATCACATCTCAGCTGGTCCAGCCATTTTCACACATGGCTATTGGTTACTGGAATGGACCTCATAGCTCTACATTCTAGACAATGCAGTCCTATAAAGTTCTCTGTATTTGTGCTGTCCAAAGCAATATCCATTAGCCACATGTAGCACTGGAAACATGGCTGGTATGACTGAGGAACTGAATTTTTCATTTTACTTAATTTTAATTAGATTTCATTTTACTTAATTTTAATTTAGAGCCACACTGCCTGGGTTAATAACCATAGGCTACACAACCTTGGGAAAATTATTAAAACCCTGGCCCCTCAGTTTTTTTTTTTTTTTTCTTTATGAAATGGGGATAATGAATAGTCCCAATCTCAGAAGATTTTCTCATGAGACACTTAGAAGAGGAACTAGCACACAGAAAGCACTCAATAAATGTTAGCTATATTTTTTTAACCAAGGAAAGGGAAATCCCTGCCATGCCTTCAGCACACAGAATATGTCCAGATGAGAAATAGATTATTAACTATGCCACAGAAAACCACAGCGTAGGTCAGACTTAGTGTGTGTTACTTGAAGGAGGCTGACTGATGTGTGTTGGGGGGGGGAGGTGTGGGGGTGCTAGCAGATTCTTGAGTTCTCATGGTAAAGGGATCTTCAAACACATTAAAGAAATGCAGATGAGTGGTGTAGGAAGTAAAGAGAGGTCCCCTAATGGTAGGTGGGCCCAGGTTGACTTCCCTTCTATCACTGATGAGCTAGGTGATTCTGGGCAGGCTGTGTTACCTTTCTGAGCCTCAGTTTGCTGATTTCTAAGTTGGAACTCCTAATGTCTACCTCAGAAGACTGTGTGGAAGCTTAACTTGAGATAATGCCTACAAGATGCTTCCTTAGTACCTGGCACACACCAAGAGCTCAGTAATTGTTCACTATTCTTTGATGACTTTTTAAATGCATAATCGAAGACAAATCTGGCCTTTAAACAAATGAAGACCTAAAGCTCCAGGGGAAGTAAAAAATGTTGCTGATAGTCTTCTCCAGAAATAGACTGGCTGTGTTTCCCTGCAGTGGATTGGAGCAGCCCTCTGAAGCCTGGGCACAGGAAGAGACTGTAGGGGCAGAAGTGGGGTCAGGGTGACCCTGGGAAGTTCCTACCTGTGTGGGGGTCCAGGAGGTTTGACAGCTCTTCTTCTAGCAGCTGCTTCACAGAAAGGTCCTCTTCAGGGTCCAGGGGTCCTTCTTCCTGGTCTGGTTCTGCCTGGCCACCAGCCCTGGTGCCTGGGCCATCTGTGTCTGGGATTGTACTCCTGCAAAGGAAGCCAACCCATTCCACCAGTGAGGAAATTCACACTCAAATTCATTCATTCCTGCTTATGAATATTCTGCTATTCATGCCAGCATTCATTCATCTGCAAACTGAACTGAGTTCCCAGCCCAGGCTTCAGAGTCAGACCAACCTGGGTTTCTTGATCCCAGCCCTCTTGCCTACTCTGAGTCTGTTTCTTCTGTAAAATGGGAGCAATAAATAACACCCACCTCACAGGGCATTGTGGGAGTAAAATGAGGTGTCACAGGTAAGGACCTTAGCACAGTGTTGTAAGCACTCAGCAAACAGAAGTGACTGAATGCACAGATATTATTCACGATTGTCACTCCATTCCTTCTTGTTACCTAGTACAGAGTAGGAGTTTAGTAAACCTTGGTTGATCCAGAGCAGTCACCCTTCCATCTCTCCATCCCTCCAGCCAAGTATGAGTTCCAGTGATGGCAGGGTTTTTTTTTTTTCTTAGTATTTATTTTTATTTACTTATTTGGCTATTCCAGGTCTTAGTTGTAGCATGTGGCATCTAGTTTCCTGACTAGGGATCGAATCTGAGCCCCCTGCATTGGAAATGCGGAGTCTGAGCCACTGGACCATCAGGGAGGTCTCCAAGGGCAAGGATTTTTGTCTGTGTCATTCCCTGCTCTCTCACCAGTGCTCTGAACAGAGGTTGGCACATAGTAGGTGCTTAATAAATACCTGGTGGACTGAATGACTGAATGTTCCCTCCTCCTTGTTTGAGGCTAAATCCCAGACCAGCAGAGCAGGTCAATAGAGGATGCAGCTGAGGTAAGGCATCCCAAAACTACTAAGAGTCTACTATGGGGTCCCTTGCTGTCTCCTGGCCTTTCCTCCTATGGCCCCTCTCTGTCACTGAGGAGGCCAGTTCCTGGGACTACCTTGGCACAGTGGTCAGGCCTGGCTTCTCATCCCAGCATCTGGGAAGGCTCCCCAACAGCCTTTAAGGCCTGGAGTCCTTGCTGCTTTTTCTCTATGGCCATTTCAGCAGGAAGGTGGCAAGTTTGCAAGTAATGACAACAACTAATGTTTACTGAGCAATTACTCTGAGTCAGACATGTGCTTTGCAAGGTATATTCGCCTTCTCATCAAACCTTTCACTTCTGTAAGGGCTTCTCTTGTTATCATCCTCATTTTACAAATGAGAAAACCAAGACTTGTAAAGATTATGCATCTTGCCCAAGGTTTTCACAGGTTAAGTAATGAAGTCAGATTTCAAAGGCAGGCTGAGGTGACTGTGGAGTGTGTGTGCTCACCCCTACTCTACAGTATTTCTAGCTACTTTTGCTAAAAACCAACCAAACAAAATGACTATAAGTTGTCACAGCAAGAGCACTGAACTGGAAGTCCGTGTCCTGAGAGCCAGCCTCAGCTTTGCCACTCACTGGTCATTTGACCTTGAGCAAATTCACTTTAAGGGGAAAGGACTTAGCATTGTTTGTATACCTCCTTTGTTCCAGGCACTGGGCCACAGGCTTAGAACACTTGTGGTCACTAAATTCTTACCCCATCACTACAAGGAAGTGGCGACCTCCATCTCACAGATGAGAAACTGCAGGCCTGAGGCTTGATCTGACTTACTCAAGTTTACGTAGCTGTGTAGGATCAAACTACTTAGAGCCTCAGTTTCTCCATCTGTAACAAGAGGGAGTTAAATTAGTTGTCCTCTTGAGGTCTCTTTAATTCTAGGACAGCCCAAAGAAACACACCCACATACCCATATCCTCAGCCAGGAACCTTCATATTATATTTAAGGGTCAAGAGCAAGAAGGCTGAATGTTATAGATTTAAAGTCCATAGTCTAGTCCCTCTGAAGTCAGAGGACAGATAGAGCCTCAGGGATGAAGTCATTTCCTTGACTCTGGGTCCTGTAAATACTATTAATACAGTAGCTCCAGGACCAAGCTGTCTGGGTGGGTGGATGGATGCTGTTCGCTGCAGTCTCCCAGGGGAGCAGCATCTGGAATGTGCTCACCCTTCCTTGAAGCACAGAGGCTGCAGGGGTGAGGGCAGGCTGGTGGGGAGGTGGGTTGAGAAACCAGAGATGGGACTACGTGCTGCTTACCTGCCGCTGCCAGGCTTGGCCAAGTACTTATTTCCCCGGTGGTTTGGTTTGGGCTGGAATTGGCCCTGATGCAGCAAGGACAGCAGCTGGGAGATTTGCTACAAGACAGGAAAAATCTGTTGACTCCACACAATTCCGACCCAGCACACTTCCTCACCGGATGTTTCCCTCAGTGCCGGCGCTTTCTTTTTATAGTCTTTCCTCCAGCTTCAGATGTTTGTGGATTGGTTGGGGGATGGTGAACAGTGATGGTGACGGAGGCAGGGACATGTGCAGGCAGGTTCCCTGCTTGGCTTTGTGTCAACTACTGATTCCCGGGACCTGGGTGTCTGAAAGAAAGAATAAGGGTCCTCTGGGGGCCCCCATGAGACCTGCCCCCGGTGGACACTGTGAGATGGGGGTGGAAAAGGCATTTCCTGACTATAAATGTATTATTATCTTAATAAGGATCATCTTAAAGTGTTGTATCCCCCTCTTCAGCAGTATTCAAACACTCAGCCAATGTTGGCGGGTCAGATGGAACTATGTTATAAGAAGGCAGAGGGTGTCTTTGAATCATTTATTCATCCTTTCATTCATTTGACAAGTATTTAATGAGGGCCTGCTTGTGCCAGGGCCTGTGCTTGCTATGGGAGTAAGAATGAGATCATGGCCCAGTCGCTGCCTTCAGGGAACTCCCAGTCTGCCTGGGAGGACAGTCAGGGGAGATAGGGCATGTGGGCTACTATGGGGGGTTACATCAGAGTTGGGAAAGGATAGAGGTCAAGTGGAGCAGATGAAAGCCCCTCACCCAACTTAGAACAAGGAGGGAGTTGTGTGTTGGGGGGGGGGTTTGTAGCTACAGGGGGAAGTCATTCACTTATTTCAACAAATGTTTTCTCTGTTCATACTGCATCACAGGCCCCTGTACTGAGACCTGGAGTTTCCATAGAGGGTTAGCAAGTGGAGAGAGGGCGAGGGTCTGGGTGAGGGGTGAAAGGTCAGTCAGAGGTGCTCAAGCTGAAAGGCCAGAGGAGACAGTGGAGTTTCAGAAAGGCTGGTGAATGGAACAGGGGTGGGTGAGATGTTCAGGGCCAGGCCCCACAGGCTCTTATGAGGGAGGCAACAGACTAAGTCAAAGTCGTTTCTAGCTTGTTGTGTGATGACAGGCAGGTTTTTAGTCGTACTCAGATCTCAGTTTCCTCATCTCTAAGGTGACTCTAAAAATACTACCCAGCCTCCTTCACAGCCTTTTCAGGATTAATTAGGTGGTTTGAAAGTTTAAAATGCTCCACAGAGTCCAGGGGTTTGGGCTGTTACTCCTAGAAATGTTGTGTCTGCCTCCCGGTCCCAGATTACCTCCCCTCTGAGGAGATCCCTCCGCCCTTTGGGCGGCTGTGACAGAAAGGGCCGACCTCAGAGGAGGTCTGGAAGAGGCGGTGGCTGGGACTGGGGTTTCACTGTGACTTGGGAGTGTCAGGGCCCCACTGCCCACCTCAGGGCCATTCCCACCTCCTGGCCCAGGCCCAGAAGCCCTCCTAAAGTACCTGTCTCCCTGTTCTTGAGTGACAGCTGATACTTCAGGGACACTCCCTGAGTGCCAGCCCCTGGGTGATGTGCTGTCATTCAGGGTCTTTTCACAGCTAGAGTCAGACTCAGGTTCAAATCCTAAACCTTCCCCGGCTCCATTTCCCATCCCACCTTAAGGAATCCTGAGGCTCAGTGTCCTCAGCAATAAAACAGGTGATAATAACAAGACCCAGGTCATGTGTTGGTTGTGGATATGAGGATTAAATGAGTGAAAGTCTATAAATCACTTAGTAATAGATCTCAGGATAAGCACTTATTAACTGTCCAGTGGTATCTAATCTCATGTCATTTTTTAGTAACCCAAGGAAAAGGATGCTATTATACCTATTTTGCAGATGTGGCACCTGAGACTCACAGGGGCTATCTAGCAATTAGAGGCAGGGCTGGATGGAATTGGAACCCAGATCTGACTCCACTGCAGCACTATACTATTGGAAAGACACAAGCATTAGGCAAGCTGCCTTTACACTTAAGTCGATCTCACCTGGGTGCCCTTCTTTCTTTCGATATGGTCACCCACTGGGCCTGCTCTCTGCTGTCTCTGGCAACCACCAGCACCATATTTGACACAAAGAGCTTATTCAATAAGCATTTGATGAATGAATAAGTGAGTGAATGAATGACTCTGGGCAACACTTCTGGGGCTGCATAGAGCCAGGGCAGGACTCCTGAAAGAGCAGCTGGGCCACCTCCAGGTGGCTTCCTGGGGAAGCGGTGGGGGAAGGAAGCTGTGTCCTTGCTCTGCAGGAAACATGAGCTGATGGCCTGGCTCATGACAGAAGTGTGCCTTGGGCACAGAAAAATGATCTGGGGTTCAGAGGAGTCGATACGGGTGTGAGATCAGGCCCTATCCCAGAAAAAGCTTTCCCATTTGTGTCCAGTAAACCCTAGGTCACTGGATACAGCCATTCATCTTCCCATTTAATCTTCAACCCCCTGGGAGGTAGACACAGGTAAGTTTGGTATCACAACTCCTATCTTATAGATGAAGAAAATAAGATAAAGTTGCCCAGCTCCTAAAGTGACTGTGCCGAAATTTGAACCTAGATCTGCCGAACTCCCAAGTCCCAAGGTTGTTTCCATTGCCCTACCCAGCAGGCCTAGCTGGCAAGCTCTGGGGTCTCAGGCAGCCCCTGAGACCTGGGGGCAGTAATGCCCATGCCAGCTTGCTTCACAGGGAAAATCGCCCAAATGAGATAAAAGCAGGTACTGTTAATCACTGCCTTTGCTGTGTGTCTGCTTGTGCCAGGTGCTCTGAGTAAGTGCTCAATAGGAATTAAGTGACAATTCTGTGAGGCAGATGCTCTTACTGTCATCCCTGCTTTATAGATAAGGAAACTAAAGCTCAGAGACAGTAAGTCATTTGTCCAGGATCACACAGCTAAATTCTTTTGACTCCAGAGCTGAACCACTGCACCCAATGCATCCTAAAGTGCTTGGTGAGCCTAAGGAATGAATGTGAGGGTAATGGGGTCTAATGCTGTTCGTGGTGGTCCAGGGGTGACCAGAGAGAGAGGTACCTGAACAGGAGGCGAATCCACGGTGAGCTCCTCTACAGGGTTCCGCTCCGCAAAGGCGGCCACAGACAGCCGGACCAGGCTCCGCAGGATCTGACGGGGGCCTGACTCTTTCTCAGGGGCTACTTTACCATTGAGATTCCGCTGCCGCCTCAGGGTTGCAGAGGAGGCTGGCGGGCTCTGCAGGGCCTCCTCACTGCCCTGGTCTCCAGGCACTCTTCCTGTGGGGCTGCCCGCAGCCTTCAGGGGCCTTGAGCGGGGCTGGCCTACAGCAGGCTGGGGCTCGGCAAGGTTCAGGTTCTCCCGGGAGGCGTTCCTCTGCCTGGGATGGTTGAAAAGGAGGTTAACAGTGTCCTGCAGCACCTCTCGGCTCTCGGCCAGCGTTCCCTGGTTGCCTTGGTTACGCAGAGTCCTGTACAGAGTCGGTGTGAGATGAAAGGGGGCCTGCAGGCAGGAGTCCCAGCCTGCTTCCATCATTGCTTCCTCGCCCACATGCTTGGGGGGCTGCCCGACTTCGCCAGGCTCATCCACCTGGCCCCTGAGCACAGGCACAAGGTGGATGTCCGCCTTCTGAATGTGTTTCTGGGGCCTCTTGGGCTGGTGACGGTAGGTGGACTCAGCCTCCCGACAGTTGTAGGCCCTGTTGTCCTTTTTCTCCGTCCGGCAGATAGACGTGATCAGAGCCAAGATCGACCCAAAGACGGCAAGCAGTACGACCAGGCAAATCACCGTGAGTACCGATGTGCTCAGGGCCCCTGGCTCATGAGCTGAATCCCTCAAGTGGTCCACACTGGTGACGAACAAGACCTGCAGCAGGGCTCGGGTCTGCAAGGAGGGGCTGCCTTGGTCTTCCACCACAATCTCCAGCTCCCACTCACTCCCAGTGAGGCTGCTGGCATTGGTGAGGTTGATGAACAGCTGCCCCAGGTGGGGGCTGAGGACAAAGACACCGGCTTCGTTCCCACTCCGAATGGTGTAGAGAAGCTCTCCATTTGCCCCCGAGTCTGCATCTCTTGCTATGATAGTTACCAAAAGGAACGGCCGAGAGCTGGGGGTGGCCTGTAGTGGTATGTCAGTGCCCGCTGGGCCCAGGCCATTGGGATTCTCAATGGGCACCAGCAAATGACCTGTGGAGGCATTTACAAGCACCGAGAGGCTGGCTCTCCCATTACTCAGTATGGGGTGAATCACCTCTGGGGCATTATCATTGACATCCAGGAGGCTGACCCAAACAGAGACACTGGATGTGAGCTGGGGCTGCCCACTGTCCTCTGCAATCACCAAGAACTCAAAACTTGCCATCTGTTCATAGTCCAGTGACCTTTGAGCGGTGACCTCGCCTGTTTCTGAGTCAATAGCTATCAAGTGAGAAACTGGGGAGTCCTGGATGCGGTATGAGATTTTCCCGTTAACACCCAGGTCTGCATCATGGGCCTTGATGGTGATGAGGTGAAGAGAGGGTAGGTTGTTTTCCCTAGTGGAGACCTGGTACCTGCTTTTCTCAAACACAGGTGCATTGTCATTGGCATCACTGATCTGAATGCTGAGCTGTTCCTTGGCTGATAAGGGCTGGGGTCCTTGGTCTTGGGCCAACAGAGTGAGGGTATATTGGGGCCACTGCTCTCTGTCCAGTGTGGCGTTGGTTAGCAGCATGTATGTGTTACCATTGGTCCTTTTCAGCCTGAAGTGGCCCAGCTCTTGGCTCAGCCAACAGTAGACCAGACCATTGTTTCCTGAGTCCAGGTCATTGGCCATGATGAGAGCAATGAAACTGTCCTTGGGAAGAGCTTCGGACACCAGCAATGGTTGGGAGGCCCACGTGATGTGGATGCTTGGGACATTGTCATTGACATCCAGAACCTTGATGAGAATCTTGCAGTGGGCTGGGATGGGATTGGGACCCAGATCCCTTGCTTGGACATCCACTTCGTAGGCCGGATTCTTCTCATAGTCTAGGTGCTGGAGCAGAGTCACCTGGCCCGTCTTAGCATCAATACTGAAGGTGTTCAGCACCTCCGGAGGCACGTGCTTACTGAGAAAGTATTCCACCTCCCCATTGGGGCCTTGGTCAGGGTCTGTGGCTGTCAGGTTTATGAGGAGAGTACCAGGGGCAGCGTCTTCTTGGATTTCTAGGGCCAGTGAGCTCTCAGCAAACACAGGGCTATTGTCATTGGAGTCTAGGACGCTGACCTTGACCAAGCTGGTGCCTGACTTGGGGGGATTCCCACTATCATAGGCAGTTAACACCAGATCAAAAAATGAGTGGATTTCCCGGTCTAGCTCCTTCACCACCACCAGTTCCGCGTGTTTTGTCTGATCGGGCCCCACAATGACATCCAGGGCGAAGTGCTCGCTGGGAGACAGGGTGTAGGAGTGCAGGGTGTTGGGGCCAGTGTCCGGGTCCAGGGCTCTGTCCAGGGGGATCCGGGTGCGCAGAGAGGCGCTCTCAGAGATCTCCAGCTCCTGCTCACCTTTGGGAAACTGCGGCTGGTGGTCATTGATGTCCAGCACCTGGATCTCCACGTGGATGAGCGCCCGCTCCCCTGTGGCCAGCACGTCAAAGGATACCAGGCAGGGATCCTGCTGCCGGCAAAGCTGCTCCCGGTCCAACCGCCTCCCTGTGCTGAGCACGCCGTCCTCAGAGTCCACCTGGATGGGGAGTCCCTGGGGCAGCTGTAGGACCTGGAAGGCAGCTCGAGCTTGGCCAGGCCCCTCCTCCCGGCCCCGTTCCTGAGGCAGCTTCCCTATCACGGTGCCAGCCGGTACCTCCTCTGCCACCTGATATCTCACAGTGAGAGTGGCCACCTCCTGACAATCCCCTGAAAGGAACAAGTAGCCACCTGGCCCCAAAAGTCCCAGAAGAAGTGACAGAAGTCGCATCATGCTTACCGCCAGAGTGCGCTAGATCCAGAAACCGCTAGAGACCTTCGGGCTGGGCAAGTCCTCCAGTGTTTCCTGAGGGGCTTGATTAGCCCCGTTCTCCTGCCCCCAGCCCTGTTAGCACAGCCTTGTCCCATCATTAGCTAATGGAACTAACAGAAAGAAAGGCCATCTTCATCAGAAGAGATGTGAGAGGTGCAAGGACCGATGAGGTAAAATTACCAGGGGAGGCCCGGTACAGGGGCACTGTGGGTCCCCGTCAGCCAGTGATGGACAAGAGTCGGTCCAAGAGGGACTTGACCCAGTGAAGCAGGATGTGGGGATCTGACTTCCAAACAGTTGCTAGGCCAGGGAAACAGAGAAGCAGCTTTTTCCTATGGAAACCCCACCTACAGGAAAAGGGAGGGCTGTGAGTTTCTATGCCAATTAGAGAAAGAGAGTTTCCGTGAAGCTGAGTGGCCTGCCGCTGAGGAGGATGCGGCTGGGGACAGGCCGGATGGGAAGGTGCTGTCCATGTGGCAAGGCAGCCGCTGAGGGGAGGGGAGCCCCTGCTGTGGCCAAGTAAGCAGAGAGCCTGAGCCCCTCCTGGACGAGTCACGCCTCGGCCTCTCTTCCTTCCTTGTCTCTCCTTGTTTCCTTCGTCTCCCGTTATTCCTCTCCCTTTCCTCTTTTCCCACCATTGTCTACCTCTCAGTCTTGACTCTGCCCCCATCACCCATTTTTGTCTCAAGGGAAGCAGAGCTGATTAAGAGAGTGGCCATCAGAGCCGAACTGCCTGGATTCAAATTCTGACCCTGCAACTTCCCAGCTGGGTCATGTGGGACAAGTCACTCAGCCTCTCTGGGCCTCATCTTGCTAGTGCAGATGGGAATAAGAACAGTAGACCTCTCAGGCGGAAATCTTGGGGATGAAATGGAATGTGCATGGAGAGCCTGGCCCAGAGTCATGGGCAATGACATTGTTCTTGGAGGTGGGTGTTGTGGTCTGCACAGTTTGGCCTGCCTTGGGACTGCCTCTGGCTCCTGCACTGGCCGTGGGGCAGTCCCTTGCCCACACAGACGGGACCGTAAAGGTGCCCGTGGCCTTGGCTCCTGAAGCACAATGAGCTCTCTGACCCGACGGGTGCAGCCTCCCTCCCCCTTTCCTTCTGGCTCCCCAGCCTCCTGGCCCATTGTTCTCCACATCTGGTCCAGCTTGAGCTCCTATCCCGGGGAATCCCCCAGCCTCCCACTCCTTGGTCTTGGAGGTTTTTATACCTTTCCCTCTCCCACACTTTCCTCTCCCTTTCCCTCCCTTCCTCCAATTCTTCACTCCCCACTGCAGTTCTTGTCCAAGAGTCCTGTCACAGAGATGAGACCCAGGAGGGGGCCAAGGGCGCAGCTGGCTTGGGTGGCCTTGAGGTGGCTTGCTCTTTCTCATTTCCTCCTGTCGCTGCTGCCCCACCATTGTCCAGTCTTGCGCTTTACCTTGAGGTTGAGTCCAGAGGTTTGCAAAACATTTGATGTGATGGGAGTTAAGGGCCAACTTTGCCTAGGTAGGTGTTTGCAGCTCAGCCCTTAGGGCTGGAGGTGCCTGTTGGGACAAAAGTCACTCCAGTCGGGCCACTGGCCTGGAAGCTTGTGGCCATTTGGATGGTGTGATGAGGACCTCCTTGGCCTAAGCATCACCTGTGCTCCCCTCTGTACTTTCTTTTCCACCCCCTACCCCCTACCCCCTACTCCCTGGAGATTCCTAACAGCACAGGGTCTGAATCCAATCCACAGGGTCTGAATCCTGGCTCTGGAGGCAGACAGAGCACTCACTAGCTTAGAGACAGAGCACAAGTCACATAACCTCTTTGGGCCTCAGTTTCCTTCTCTAGTAGAACATGGCTATCCTGCATCTCCTGAATTTGTGGTAAGGATTCGATGAGATGATGTAAGTGAAGGCTCAGTGCAGCACCTGGTACAGAGAAAGCACTCTTTACATGGGTCTAGTTTACCTGGAATTATTTGCCAGGCTTTATACCCTGAGTGCAAATGGTAAAGATGGTCTTGCATTTGTCCCTTCACTTTTTTCTCTGTCTTGTCTGCCAGGAAGTCTCACTTCCCAGGGTGTCCTCAGCTTGGATGCAGGCCCAGGCTACCTGTCCTGCAAAGAGAGCCAATGTGGGCCCCAGGTCCTCTGGTGGTAGCCTGCGTGGTGGCCCCACTGCCTGACCCTCACTCATCCTGCTGTGTGCAAGGCAGTGAGCAGGACAGAGTGACGCCCAAGGGACTCATAGTTTCAGGTCAAGGTGGGGAAATGAAAGAAGTGGGTCCAGTGGAGTGGCTTTGGATTCAGGTCCTCCTGGAGGACCCTTAGATGCACCTGGAAGGATGTAGAGGAGTGAGCCTGAGGAGGTGGGTGGGCAGCAGGGAGGCAAGGCGGGGGGAGGGAGCAGGATGGAAGAGGCCTGAGTTGGGTGAGCTGGCTTCTTATGGTCCTACAGAAGGGTCTGTGGACAGAGGAAGAGGAAGTTGGGCTGGGATGTCAGCGGGGGCCGCTGGATGATGGCGGGCCTAGGGCCCTATGCTAAGGCCTTGGACTTTGTCCTATAGGCTATGGAGAGCTTTGGAAGGGCTCTGAGCTGCATGATGAAAACAGCAGGTACCTGCCAAGCCTTGTGCTGAGTGCTTCACATACATCATCCCATGCCACCCTCACAACAGGCCATGGGTGAAAAAGCTAAGTATTGAAGTTGGGTAACTTGCCCAGGATCATGCACATTTGCCTTCCAGAAAGCCCCACAGGCTGCACTCTGGGAAATGGATCAAAGGAACAGAGAAGAGGGAGGAAAGGCGGCCAGCTGGGAGTAATGCAGGGGAGCTTTGGTACAGGAAGCTCTGGTGCGGAGAACGTTTCCAGAACGCCATCTGGTGGCCAAAGGCAGCAAGGCAGGGAGGTGGGTGGCTGGAGTTCACAAATGTCCACAGCTCCAGGGAGAAGGACATGGCAACCCACTCCAGTACTCTTGCCTGGAAAATCCCATGGACGGAGGAGCCTGGTAGGCTGCAGTCCATGGGGTCGCTAAGAGTCGGACACGACTGAGCGACTTCCCTTTCACTTTTCACTTTCATGCATTGGAGAAGGACATGGCAACCCACTCCAGTGTTCTTGCCTGGAGAATCCCAGGGATGGGGGAGCCTGGTGGGCTGCTGTCTATGGGGTCGCACAGAGTTGGACGCGACTGAAGCGACTTAGCAGCAGTAGCAGACAGCTCCAGACCCCTGTTCTTGTGCTATGTGCAGTACAGTGGAAGGACCTATACCCGGGTGATAATCAGTTCTCCTAGTGGGAAGCCAACTGTGGCCGAACACCCACAGAGATAATAGAATTCAAGATTTTACCTGAGCTTTTTTTTGGTGGGGGAATGCCGCTTAGTTCCTCAACCAGGGGTCAAACCTGTGCCCTCTGCATTGAAAATGCAGTCTTAACCACAGAACCACCAGGGAAGTCCCTTATTTGAGTATTCTTCAAAGGGCATTTGTGTGTGTGTGTGTGTGTGTGTGTGTGGCCTTGACTGGGACCCATGGATGCAAAAAAATGAATTCACAGGTCATGAAAACCTTTGGATTTCGTAGATGGTTTATTATTGTTCTCTGTTTGTTTTACTCACGTCGGGGGCAGGAAGCTAAGACAACCCTTTAAGAATCCAAAGGCAGCAAAGGAAGCACCGGAGCTTTTAAAGGCTATTGTCTCTAGGAATGAGGTCCCCATTTAGTAATATTTCCTCCTCTCTTTTGGCTGCAGGGTCAGTTGATCTTTAGCAGCCACATGTCAAGGGGTAAAACTGGAATTTGTTTGGAAAGCCTACATCACCCTAAGTCTTAAAAATAGATTCAAAGAAGCTGAAGTTGTTTCAAATCCCTAAGTCTGAAATATTTTTAAAAAGAGGGCAGGCTTGGGCTTGGTGCTTGGAGGCCTTGTTCACCACCAGCCTCTGGGTTGCTTACACTTGGGTCCATCACTATAGGGGGAGGTCGGAGAGTGAAGTGGGAAGGGTCAGGGATCAGAGGATCTCTTTAAATACCTGGGGTCCTGAAGAACCTTGAGGGGTCAGACCAGCAGGGTGGGACTCTTGACACTTAAGGGACTTGAAGACCAGTTGGATGAAGGCTAAGATCATTTCCCCACATTAGGAATGTCCTGCTGGGCTGTCTGCCCACCCCCAGGGTACCCTGTGAATCTGCCCAGCTGCTGCCATAGTCACCATCACCAAATCAATGCACCACCAAAGTAGCATTAGAAGCTGGGAGGCTTCATTCTCAAGACCTTTCTGGTTGGGGAGGTGACTGGACCACCTAAGATTTGCCTCCTTTTTTTTTTTTCCCAACAAAACCTTATTGAAGTTGGAGGCATTCTAGCCTGGGGCATTGACTGGGAGACTCAAGGACTTGTTCTGGGTCACCTGTTTCTGCCCCACAGTTTGTTGTCTCTGTTGGGGGCAGATCACAGATGTCCAATTCCACCCAACTGGGTGGATTTCTGGGCCCACTGTAGAGAGAATACTTGGCAGGGAGAAATTTGCTAAGAGAGGACTTTTCAGGAAATGGAAAGGTTTTGTGTCTTGATCAAGACTGGTATCTCTCAAAAGGGTCCACGTATCATAGTCACTTGAAAAGCTTTTCAAAATTCCAGGAACACGGCAATTCATACTTTTCTTTTTTCCAGACTGCCAAAGAGAATTTTATAATTGCCAGCTCTATTTCCCTCTCTTTGAAAATGCTTCATCTTTCATATCATTTGGGACCAGGTTGGGTAAGTTGATTGGACCTTTTTGCTGGGAAGAGAGGCCTAATTGATCTATATAATAAAAGGGAAAATAGATGAGGGGGAGGGGAATTGCTGAAGGTTGAGGATATTGTGGAGGGGGTACCTTAGAGAACAGCTGAGGCTGTAAAGGAAGTAGGTTGATGATAAGGACTTTCTGATGGATAGTTGTAAACTGTAAACTCCTGTTTGCAGGAGTAAACTCCTGTAAACTGTTGTAAACTCTTTCATGGTTTTCAAGAAAAGTGCAAGAAAGGATTTATAATTTATTTTGTGCTTTAGTAACCACAACACAGCCCCCAAAACTGGACCACATAAATTCTGAGTTAATAAGGGTTACACTTATGTCTCTCTCCCTAATCTTCAGAGAAGAGGGCTACTTCCAGCATGTAGGTTTCAATTCTGATATACTATAGGTCATTCTACCACACACCCCTTTTCCACCCCAACCTCATTGAGAACCACTGACATAGAGCTTCTTAAACTTGTTATTTATTTTTAAAAATTTTTGGCTGTGTTAGGTCTCTGTTGCTGTGTGCAGGCTACTCATTATGGTGGCTTCTCTTGTTGCAGAGCACGGGCTCTTGGATGCGCAGGCTTCAGTAGTTGTAGCTCACGGACTCACAGAGCTTCTTAGAAGCACTAACAGCTTGGTAAGGGCGAACTCTACAGTCATCAGACCTTTCTCACCAAGCATCTTCCTGGTCCCCACCTCTCTCCTATATCGGTATCAACGCTCAGCAGAAGCTCTGTGCACACCGGTTCTTCTATATTTCTGCAGGCTCTTCTGCCTGCTTCTCTGATTCTCCCTTTGGTTTGCCTTCCTTCTGACTCCCAGGTGTGGGCATGTCCACCAAATATTCTCTTCAGCCCTCTCTTCTAATTAGGGTTCTTAGCCCAGAAGTAGGTTGCCAGGTTTAACAAATAAAAATATAGGGTGGGGGCGTCCCTGGGGGCTCAGTGGTAAAGAATCTGCCTGCCAGGGCAAGAGACGTGGGTTTGATCCCTGATCTGGGAAGATTCCACATGCCATGGAGCAACTAAGACCCTGTGCCACAGCTATTGAGCCTGTGCTTTAGAGCCTGGGAGCCACAACTACTGAAGCTCAAGCATCCTAGAGCCCATGCTCAGCAACAAGCGTGGCCACCGCAATAAGAATCCCACGCATTGCAACTAGAGAGTAGCCCCCACTTGACGCATTTGGAGAAAAGCCCGTGCAGCAATGTAGACCCAGAACAGCCAATAAATAAATTTTTTAAAAATATAGAGTGACTGTTAAATTTGAACTTCAGATAGTGAAAAAACTTTAAGTATTTTTATCTGGCAATCCTATCCAGACGTTAAGTATGACCTCACCACAAGTTCTTCTCTGTTTTCCTTTTTCCTCTTCTTTTTATTTTTAGAATTTTGGTTTACACAGTGAATTTGAAAATCTATCGGTAAACACAAAAATCAAACATATTGACTGGGAGCATCATCTGTGCATGAATATTCAGAGGCTGACTCTGTTGATTGGCCTTGTTATGTATTCAGCATTTCTGGGTGATTCTAGGATGTAACTGTTCTCACACTAAAAGAACTACCCCTGAGGAGGCTTGGATCACATTCATTAATTTATTTGGTCATCTGGTCACTCATTTATTGGGTGGAATTCATCATGTTCTTCTCCATTTGCAAGGTCAGTTTTTTTTGGCAAGAGAAGTAGCTAAATAGCTAAAGTTGACCCATATTTTCCTTTCCTCTAAACCATTGGTTTGGTTTTCTTTCTTCACATAGAATCTAATCAGCCTAATTCTCACCTTGCTTCAGAAAGATTCTTGCAGGAAGGAAAATGAGTCTTCCCATCGTTACATAAATTCTCATGGGGCTCCCCTTTATAAGTTTATGACAGCCAAGAGTTGAGCCCGGAGCTCCAAGAGAAACAGCCATATGCTGATTTATGATGGCAGCTGCTGCTAAATCTCACCCTTCTTTCCTTCTTACAGTGCCATGTTACCTTGGGGTTACAAAACTCTTTTCACTGTTATTCAGGGGAATAATAATAAAGTGCCAGGTTGCAAGTATAAACATGATCATTCTGTGCCTATTATTGTAAATCAAATTTTACCTTGGATCAGAAGCACAGAAAACATTTTTATACTGTCAGCCACTGCAAGCCTTCTTAGGAGTCTGTTTTTATATAACCCTGGGATGACCTGAGGTATTGTTTGAACTGTACTGACCAGGGAAGCTGGCCACATTGGTTAGTCTGGCTATTTTTCCTTACAGACCTGAGCACTTTCCTTGGGCAAAGTGTTAACCTGATCTAAGCATAGCATTAGGGTTAATAACATGGGCTCAGGACTCCAATTGCCTGGGTTCAAAGCCTGGCTTTGTAATTTCCTATCTGTGTGACCATGGCAAGCCACTTAACTTCTCTGTGATCAGTCTCCTTAGCTTTAAAATAGGGATGATGATGATGGTAATACGTTACAGGGTTACTGTCATGTTTAGCTTAGTCCATGCAGAACATTTAGAGTGGGGTATGGGACATGAATAGTGCTCCACTTGTTAATTATTTGTAATTATGCTTTTAACTCAATTTTTATTTTTGAGTATGAAGCCCCTGTTTTAAAGAAACACCAGTTTTTCAGATTTCCAGGTGATAGTGGTAAATTTTTTTAGATCCACAGAGTGAGGAAGTATATAACGACAGGAGATCAGCTATGAAACTTCTGTACTGGGATGAGACCTGCTACTATCCAGTCCTGTCCCAGAGTTGGGGCAAGACTTTCCCTTCCACACCGCTGCCCCTCTATATGTCAAGGCTTGTTTCAGGAATGCTTGAGAGAGATGGCCACTGAAAAGGAGGCTGGCCCCCCGCCAGGCAGGTGGGATGAGCTCATCAAAGGCTCTGGACACCATTGGATGCCAGTGATGGACGAACCAGTGCAAGTCCTGATGGAAGGCCTGCTAGTCCCTACAAGACCAGACATATTTTGTGACTCACTTTTGCTTTTCTACCCAATGGTGGGGTCTTGACCTCTGGTCTAGGTCACACATCCCATTCTCTCCTAGCCCTGGACTCCATCATCATCTAGTGTTCATGAGGACAGGGGATGGAGTTAGATGTCTTTCTCTCTGTATTTTCATTCTACCTATCATGATATCATAAACTGTAATCCTGACTTCCCTGGGGCCTTCTCTTTTAATTCTTAAAGCCAGAATGACTTTATTCTGTCTGTATTTCTGTTTCAACAAACCCTAATTCTTTTACAAACTATATGAGAGGGTCAGATTGATGAGGAATTGGTCCTAATATTATAGGTCACCACTGAATGACACTGGTAAAATCATTTCACCCCTTAGCACCTCAATTTCCTCATTTGTAAAACAGGGAGATATGATTACTTTGGTCATGGGGTCCTAGGTGTTAAAATGAAACAATGCATGTAAAATGCTTAGCACAGCAGAGGATTAGGCATGTAGGGAAAGCTCAATTTAAATGATGCAAAACCAGGCACATAAAACCAAAGCTACAAAAATCTTATGGAGTCTAAAAAGAAAATTAAGTAAAAAATTCTCTTTATCCAAACCTAACCTCCAAAGTGGACTCTGCTTAGTCCACTTCAAACATTCATCCAAACTATTAACACTGCTTTGAAATTCTTCTATTCCCTCTGTCCTGTGACCTCTGACATGCAGCCATGACATGATGTCACAATTACCTTTTACTTTGACTCTGTGAGAATTTTCTGACTTGGTTCTTTGTCTCCCTCGCTTTTAGCAGCTGGGAGATCTCTGGCTGCATTCATGGTCTCGTCTCCATGCACTCTGCAGTAGGGTTTCACTCTTGGTTTTATTTCCTTTGGCTGAATATGAACAATATTAGTGGTTGACTTCAGATATTCTTCTTCCTTCCTTTGTCTTTTTAAGGAGTACATTTCTGGTTTTGATGTCCGTTACAGGGATAGCTAGGTTTCTGTTCTGTAACAGTCAAGATTTATAGTACAGAGGATTAGGACTGATTATTTGCATTTCAAAAATTTCCCTTCTGTGGCAGTCAGGAAACCCCTCCAGTACCCAATTTTTTCCCACTTGGCTTTTCCTTTCTCCTGCATGCAGGATCAGCAATGTAATTTGTGAAGCCTAGTGCAAATGAAAATGCAGACCTCTGTTTTCCAGAGTGGCTACTCCATTTTACATCCTCAGAATCAATATATGAGGATTCCAATTTCTTTGCCACTTCACCAACACTTGTTATAATCTGGCTTCTTTTTAAACATTCTTTGTTGAGATATAATTGGCATACATTATATTAGTTTCAGGTGTATAACATAATGATCCAATATATGTATGTATTGAGAAATGATTTCTACAGTGAGTGTAGTTAATATCCAACACCATACATACAGGTTTTTTTCTTGTGATGAAAACATTTAAGATTTATTCTTAGCAACTTTCATATATAATTATGTACTATATTCACCATGGTTTCCATAACATCCTAATGACCTATTTATTTTGTAATTAGAAGTTTGTGTCTTTACCTACTTGCCCACCTCTTGCCTCTTGCAACCACCAAACAGTTCTCTGTATCATGAGTTTAAAATTTTTTTTTCTTTTTATTACAGCGGTTCTAGTGAGTGAAGTGGCTTCTAATTGTGGTTTTGATTTGTATTTCCCTGATGACTAATGACAAGCCTTTTTTCACATGCTTACTAAACATTTGTATATCTTCTTTGGAGAAATGTCTATTTACATCCTTTACCCATTTTTAAATTGAGTAATTGGTCTTTCTGTTGTTGAGTTGTACGAGTTCTTTACATGTTCTGGCTTTTAAACCTTTATCAGACATATGATTTTCAAATTTGTTCTCCTATTCTGTGGGTTGTCATTTCTTGATGATGTCCTTTGAAGCACATAAATTTTTAATTTTGATGAATCTAATTATTTTTCTTTTATATCTTGTGCTTTTGTTCCTAAGAACCTATTGCATAATCCAAGTTCATGATTTTACTCCGACATTTTCTTCTAAGAGATGTTTTAATTTTATTGCTTACATTTAGGTCTTTGATACATTTGAGTTAATTTTTGCATATGGCATGAGGTAGGGGACATGTAATTTTAATTCCCACTCAGCCTATACGCTTTGGTAAATTTTTGAACCTTTCTCAGTTTCAATTTCCTCACTTGTAAAGCAGGAATAACAAATAGTATCTAAATTATAAGGTTATAATGAAGTGAAAATTTACATTAAACCATGAGTACAGGACTTGAAGCATCCCTATGCTTAATCAACACGGTAGTTATTACCGTTACAATATGACCAATGAGTGACTGCTTTCATAGTGGAGGTGCCAGAAAGATAGGTAGCATTTCTGAGACCGGGATCCCGGGAGGGAGAAAAGGCTTGCTTTCTCTACTTGGGGAAGCAGGTCTACCCCAGGAATTTCCCTGCCTCATGATTACCCTTAGTGACTGGTAAAAATTCTAATTCCGACGCACATTCCCAGCAGGGGCCCCAGAATCTGCATTTGTGTCAACGTCTCCACAGGCATACTTAAGTGTGGTGGGCAGCGACACGGTGACGATGGTCGCGGCTGCAGCGCCGGTTTGACCCGCGGGGGGCGGCCGAGGGGCCGGGGCGGTCACGGCGTCTGCGCAGAGCCCTTTTCTCGCCGAGGCCTCCCAGCCAGATCCGCCCGGCTCAGCTGACAGCTCCGAAGACGGAAGAGGCGGTCCGCCGGTTGAGCCGGGCGTCTTCAGGCGGGGCCAGCGAGTGGAGGTGAGGGGACCCGGAGCTTAGGTTGGAGGGCGGAACTTTTGAGCCCGGCGCGGTGGGGCAGCCGGAAGGTACAGTAGGAACTGCGCTCCAGGCGCGCGAGGCAGAGAAGGGCGGCCGGGCCGGGACTGCTTGCTTAGCAGGCTTCAACTCCCCAGACCCGGGACCCGGCCCGGCTAAGGTCCCCGGGGTGCCCGAAGGAGGAAGGGGAAGTTCCAGGCCCTGCCCCTTCGGGACCCCTGGGCGGGCTCACACGCGCGCAGCGTCCTCCGTTTCCAAGCGCTGGGGCAGGTAGCAGGGCTCGGGCCTGCCACCCAGTTGTAGGTGAGTCGCACAAACAACGACTCCATACGCCCCGCAGTGAGCCGTGGAGACATGGCAGCGGCGTGCTGACCACCCCCGACTCCCCACCCATGGCTGAATCCTTCGTGGTGTGGCTTGGGAGAATGTGTAGGATTTTCCCAGGCCCGAGGGAAACCCGGCGGAGGAGGGGCCTCCCTCACTCTCTTAGCGGTTTCCGGTTTGCCTGAAAGTAATATTAAACTTGAATTCTCTAGTCTCGTGACACCAGGGTTTATTCTTGTTCCTGTGTTAACAGCTGAAGAAACAAGGTGGTCTGAATCCCGTTTTATTTTTATATTAGTTCTGTGATCTTGAGCCAGAGTGAACTTAAAATGTCATTTTTATGTGTTTAGTGGAAATAGGAGTAGGACTTTCTTCATGGGGTTGTGGGAATCTAACGGGTTAGTGCATTTAAAGGGCTTACCACAATGTCTGACACATGGGAAGAGTTCACTCTTTTTGCTGTTATTGTGACGACCAACCCAACGTGCTCCTGGTGGGATGTGGCGGTGCAGGCCCTGAACCTTGATTCTAGTCTCCCAATGCAGCAACCACATCTCACCCCAGTTCAGTTCTCACTTTGTCTAGTGTCTAACCTAAAGCACTGCTAGATTCTGAAAGCAGTATAGGCAGAGGCAAGACACTTGATCTTCGCCCTTAAGGAACTAATTTAGTCAGAGAGGAAACGCAAGTTGAGAAGAAAAACTGTAATGCAGGATGGGGTGTGATAATGTCATAGGAAAGTTCCAATTTTAAAAAAGTTTTCTGGATTTTTAAAGAAAGACATGCTAATTGGAAGTTTTACATGGAATAGGGGTTTTGGAGGTGGGTCTTGAAGACTCCATGAATAGAATCAAAGAAATTTATGTCAGCAATTTTAATTAAGGGACTGGGACCCATGGCAGCTTCAGAAGCTGGGGTCTGGTGAGTTGGGTCATGAGGAGCTGCCAATGGGAAACAGCTTGGAGTAGAGTTTCTTAATCCTGGCTGCACATTAGAATAACATGGCGAACTTGGATGACCCATGTTTGATTAAATTGCTCTGGGGTATAGCCTGGGTATAAATCCATTTCATCTCATTTATAATGTTTGAACAGGAAGAAACAAAAAGCTTAATTACTTTATCACCATGTACTACAGGTGGTAAAAGGCATTTACAATTATGTAAGGTGATGTGAAAAGACTTAGTATATAGTACATAATACATAGTAGTGAATGTGAAGTCGCTCAGTCGTGTCTGACTCTTCGCGACCCCATGGACTGCAGCCAACCAGGCTCCTCCGTCCATGGGATTTTCCAGGCAAGAGTACTGTAGTAGGTTGCCATTTCCTTCTGTAAATTGATCCTAAATTTCATTGTTAGCTTATTTGGGAGTCACACATCTGAAAATATGGTTTTAAAATTATTGTTTTATATTTTTTGCATTTTTAAAAATTTTTTTTCATATTTTACGGTATTCATAGCATTCTCCAGAACCCATCTATGGACCAATCTCCCTTTCTCCTTTATTCCCAGTTGAAGAAGCCTGGTAAAGCATTTAGAATAGGACTTAAATGTTTGTGTGTGAGCACTTTTATTATTTTGTTTTTAATTACCCTGCTGTCTTGCTTCAATTAACCTAATGTTGAGTGTCCCTGGCAGGCTTAATTCATTATCGGACAAAAGGACTAACTGGAGGGGTAGGAAATGAAGGAATAGAAGAAGTGGAAGAGGAAAGGAAAAACAAAAACAAGAAAACCGCAGGAAGTGGTTTGTTATGGGGGCATGTTGTGCTGTCATCTCGTATGACCTTGGTGTTCTCAGCTCCTCCCAGGGCTGAAGGCAGTCAGATAAGAAGGGCACTCTGATTACTGGGAACACGTCCTTTGAACCGCATGGCTCAGTTAGGCTGACCTAGGTGAGTAATAAGCAGCTGTAGACTAGGATTGACTGTGTGTTAGGATGTGCTTGATTTAAGTGGTGGTTACAGAAATTCAGAATTTAAATTTGGAGAGGGTGCTAACACCATCTTTTGTATTTTTTTTCTGCAGATGGCAGGATTTCTCTAGTATATCTAGTATGAGTTCTACATCTTGGCCTTTTGTCCACCTTCAGCAGTCTCATCTCCATCATCTTAAGAATAAATGAGATTTGCATGAGTTCCAGACTTGGGGCTGAAATACAAACACCAGTGCTAATAATCCTTTTCTTCTAGTTGTTATTAACAGGTACTAACTGACCTTAAATAGAATATATCACTGTGTCTTAGGGACACAGCTTAAGCAGAACCATTATCATCTGCTAGAAAATGTATTTTTTGAAAATGGAATCATTTTAAATGAATTTGAGTTTTGTAGTGTCACCTTTTTATAACGTGAAAAACCACATCCTAACTTTTCTTTGTGCATTCCAATTTAGAAAATATTTCAACCAAGAGGGAGCATATTTGCAAATACAGTTATAGTCTAGTATTTTAATCGATAGAATGGCAATTTTTGGTGGTGGTTTTATTAAAGTAATTTTCACAGATTCTCACTACATATTTTTTGCATGTTTGAATTATCTGACTGTGGTTTATCTTTCAGTTGCTGTAATTAAAAAGCATTTGTATAGTTTAATTATAGCATATTTTCACTGTTGGTGTTACCTAAAATAGTGGTAAATCTTAAAGTTGATTTGATATTATTTCAAAAATTTAATGTTATTTTGCTGCTTCCTCAGTTATGTCTCACATGTTTTCATCCTTGTAACAATCTCTAGAGTGGTGTTCTCAAGTAGGAGCAATTTTCTTCCCCCTCCCCAGTGGCAGGGTGGTGGTGGATATTTGGTTATGTCTGGAGATGTCTGTGATTGTCACAACTCTTGAGGAAAAGGCGTGCTGTTGGCATCTAGCAGGTTGAAGCCAGACATGCAGATTCATGTCCTCTAATACACAGGACAGCCTCCGATGACAGTTGTCTGTTCCAAAACGTCAGTAGCACTGAGGCTGAGAAAGCCTGCCATAGAGATTCCTGTGGATTTAAAAAATTCATTTATTTTTAAGAAGAATATCAAATATACCTTGACTGCTTTTGTGAGCAAGGCACTTTTCTAAGTTTAGAGAGCAAGTCAAAGTAGTTTGTGAATTGTCCTTGAAAAAATTTTTTATTGTGCTTTCTTTTCTAAATCATACCTAACTGATAAAGTCAGCAATTATAAGGACCACAGCTGTCCTTTTTGAAAAAGGCTATTACTGTGCTGATCTACTGGAATATTAGATATGCCTGTCACTTTTAGTTAGATAGAAAATTGAGAATATTGATTAATTCTTTGCAGTTGTTTTTGAGGACCTTTTTTTTGGGGGGGAATGGGGTTGGGGGGGAGGGCCATTAGACTTTTCCAGACTCTGCCTTTTCTGTTCTTAACTGACTTGAATGATTATCTTCAGCTCCTCAGAAAATTAAATGTCGTCAGAAGACCGAGAAGCTCAGGAGGATGAATTGCTGGCCCTGACAAGTATTTATGATGGAGATGAATTTAGAAAAGCAGAGTCTGTCCAAGGTGGAGAAACCAGGATCCATTTGGACTTACCACAAAATTTCAAGATATTTGTGAGCGGTTAGTTAATATTCTCTTAAACAGATTTTTTCTAGATAAAGGTTATTCTCAATTTCTTAGTGTACCCTAAGTTATTTATCATCTTGTGTTTATAGGCATTAGTGATAGATGGTAGTATTACAGATTTAATGCCTGTTTCTGTTTTAATTAAAAATAAAGGGTGAACAATTTTCAATTTAATTCTGGCTTTTTGATCACAAATATTATCCTGCATATTTCATGCTTCCTGATCATCTAACTAGCAGTTCATCAGCTGTGAGTCATTGGCTGTTAAATAGGGGTAATAAAATAGAAAATGAAATAATATATGTGAAAACACTTGGAAAGATTTGGTTGTTGTTAATACTATTTGGTTTCTAGAATCTTTTCAACCACCATAAACACATGACACTACTACTCTGTGACCTTTTGCTTCCGAAAAAAATTAAAAACTACTACTTTTGATACCGTATTCACAGAAGGCATGAACACTTTCTCAATGTTTCTAGTGTAATAGCTTTAAGTAAAGAAAGGAAGTGTGATAACTGAAAATGAAACTTTGATTGTGAGGGTGTTCTATGTTGTAGCTTGCCCTCAGCCTGAGATCATTGCATTGGCATAGATTCTCCCGTTGGCACATGCTTGTCTAAGTAGGTCATGGCTTTTTGATAGAAATAATGTCTTTTTCTCTAGATCGTGTCTTTAATCATCTACTATAAAAAAACAACAAAGAAAACATTGTGTATTACTTGCTCACTAGTGTTAGGAATTATACTCAGAAGTGTAGCAAGAATAAGTTGTATATCTTCATTTAAAATTTCATGATGCTTAGTAGACTTTTTTAAGGGCTTATACATTTTTTTAAGGTGGTGGCTCCAAAGTAAAATTAAGAACAGAAAGTGCTTTGGGGGAGGGTTTTTATCCCCTCAACTAAAGCATTACGTTTTTCTTGAGCACTGCTCAGCAGTAATGGACACTCAAGTGTTGACCAGCTGATCCTTTCTAATCTTTGTTTTTGGTTCAGGCAATTCAAATGAGTGTCTCCAGAATAGTGGCTTTGAATACACCATTTGCTTTCTGCCTCCACTTGTGCTGAACTTTGAACTGCCACCAGATTATCCATCCTCCTCCCCACCTTCATTCACTCTTAGTGGCAAATGGCTGTCACCAACTCAGGTTAGACCCGAAACTTAATTTCTATCCATTTTTAGAAATTTTAAAAATCATCTTTAATTGAAGACTACCTTGATGATCTTGAATTCAGTGCATGAAGAACAAATGGGCTTGATGTTGTAATTTTTTCCCTTCATGAATTGTAATGTTAATAAGTTGAAAATGTTTGGTGTTTTAGAAAGGAATGGCAATAATTAGAATGATTAATCATTTTGAATTGCAGTAGGAGTAATTTTTAATCAAGTATATTGTTTCTCTCCTTTTCTTGCTATTTTCCCATTTAATTGGTATTGTAATGGAGACTATAGGTCCTCCTCATTTTCCTCAGATGTTGGTATTGCTTTTTATTTTTTTATCCATTCCTTAAATGAAAGATTTAATTGTAATTAGGACTAAAATTGAGTTAATGTAGCTTTAATAAACATTCCTTAAGAACACATAAGAGCGCTTTTGTTTGTAAAAGTCTGTGTATTAGCAACAGTTGTTGACTGCTCACGTAATGTGAATGCACACAAATAAAAGTGCATATGTTTCCTGTAGATATCTCATTAAGGCTTGAGATCTTATATTACGAGCTTTCATTTCCTCTGAGTCGTATATCCTTTTCTAGTAACAATGTCAGCTCTTGATTGAGACATAAATATGGCTTGAAGCTAATATAATGTATTCTGGAGTAGATAATGGATCAATAGCAGTTACTTTTCTAGAAGTCATGATGAAGATTGATAGGCTGATGTATTAAGACAAAAGCTGTCAGAGTTACTTGACCTCAAGGAACAGCTTGTCAGTTTTTCTTTTTTGACCATGTAATTCTCATTCCTACCACTGTTCATCACCAGGCCGATCCTTAGATGAGAGTGCATTTGTTAAATTGAACTTAGAGTTTAAAAAAAAAATTAAATTAAAAAAAATAATACATGTAGAATAAAAAGGAGTTTCACCTTGCATTTTAATATCTTTGTCAGAGGCAACACATGCAAGACAGTGGATTATTTATATTTAGATCACTGAGAGTTGACTAAATTATCTAGACATTTATAGTCCCATTTCTCCAGAGAGCACTTGATACTTTATGTTCATGCATGTGTACACATGTGGAGTTTCAGATTCCAACCAAATACCATCTACTTAATGCTGGCTTTTAGGGTGTAGGGAGAAGAGAGTTGCTCATTATTTTATGTTACATAGCTAAAATTATAGTAGGACTCTTCTGTCAAGTAAATTTTTGTCCATATAATTGACATTTTAATCCTATGCTCCTTCTTCCTTCAATTCTTGTTTGTTACCGGGCCCCGATTCCTTGGCTTTTTGAATTGCTCCTGTTGATAATGAAGTTGACGCATGGACCTGTTCCTCACTGAATTTGTTTGATTGATAGAAGTGGGTTTAGTTTTCTAGTATTTTCCCTGTTTCTTTTCCAATATATGTATACAAACAGTGTCTTTCATGCTCTTCTCTTTCTGCCTGCCTCGTCCCTCACATGTATGTACATCTCAGATACCTCTTTCGAGAAAGGACTAGAGAAGAAAAGAGGATGGAGGAGAATGACTTCTTCCTTGGACTTGGTGACTCAAACATTCAGAGCTTCCCTTTTAGTATTTATTACATTTTGAAGATTTCCTTAGGTTTCTTATTGATCATGAAAGCACATTTATGCAAATGTGTAAAACCATTTGTTGTCCAGTCTTGAACAGTGTTTAATTTTGTGCCCATATAGAGTTTAGTGAATAGCATTACGCAGTGTAAGGAAGAAAATGTGGTTCTTTTTCACTTCAGATGTCAAATTTACAAAATTTATTTGCATCTGGAAGGCTTATTCTTTGATGTTTACCTAAAAAGAAAAGCTGCTTATGAGCCTGAGCTCTACTTAAAAATCTTCTTATATTTGCCTTTCAAATTGAACAGACCAATTTTAAGGAGGAAAAGTCAAAATAGTTTAAACTTTGGTTGCGTAACTTAGGAAATGTGAGCTTTGCCTATGGCAGTGAAATCATGTTAAGGGCTTGTAATCATGTCCAGGTTCAATATCAATCTGCTTTCCTCTATTAACCAAGATCTGGTGTGAGCTCAGATTGCTTAGTTAAAATCAGCTTATAAATTGGAATAACAAGGACTCTGAGGTTAGATTCTGTTAGTGATTTTTTTCACATAAGTTGACTTCTTGATACAGCTGAAAGAATTAATTTTAAAGCTTGGATGGTATTTTTAAATTGTTTTTTGCTAATCTTTATTGTAGCGTACCAACAGGGCTAGTACTCCAAAGGACTAAAAATAGTTCATTTTAAAACTAGATCTCTTCTGCTACATGAGATAGGTAGCAATACTAAAGTAAAGAATAAAGAACAGAAAAAGTCCTCCATTTCAGTAGCCCATACATAAACCTTGTTCTACGTCTGGTAGACTCTTAACTGTTTCTCTTGTTTTATGGGGCTTCTTTTAGCTTCTGACCTTGTGTCTTTGGCTCATGTTGCTGAATAGTTTAAGAAGTACTTTGATAAGAACACCGATGCTATTGTGCAGCACAGTTTATCACAGAAGTGAAAAGAATACTTTCTACTTCCTAACAGGAAGTATAAAGGTCTAAATTAAAAAGATTTCAAGGTAAATTAGGAGTTGACAGCAGCATCATCTTTCCAAACTCAACAGCATCCTCATGTGTTTTTCCCCTAGCTTTCTGCTCTCTGCAAGCACTTAGACAACCTGTGGGAAGAACACCGTGGCAGCGTGGTCCTGTTTGCCTGGATGCAGTTCCTTAAGGAAGAGACCTTAGCATACCTGAATATTGTCTCTCCTTTTGAACTCACGATGGGTTCTCAGAAAAAGGTTCAGAGAAGGATGGCTCAAGCTTCTTCCAACACAGAACTAGATTTTGGAGGAGCCACTGGATCTGACATAGACCAAGAGGAAGTTGTGGACGAGAGAGCCGTGCAGGATGTGGAATCGTTGTCGAGTCTGATCCAGGAAATCTTGGACTTTGATCAAGCTCAGCAGATAAAATGCTTTAATAGTAAATTGTTCCTGTGCAATATCTGTTTCTGTGAGAAACTGGGTAGTGAGTGCATGTACTTCTTGGAGTGCAGGCATGTGTACTGCAAAGCCTGTCTCAAGGACTACTTTGAAATCCAGATCAGAGATGGCCAAGTTCAGTGCCTCAACTGCCCAGAACCCAAGTGCCCTTCAGTGGCCACTCCTGGTCAGGTAACTCTTCACTCCGCTGACAGCTGCTCCCTAATTCTCTCACAACTCTCCAAAGGGAGGCATTCTCTCAGGAACTTCTTGATAGGGCTCGTCAGGGCAGTCTGAGGCCTTGGAGCCAGCCCACCAGTTTTATTCTGTCCATGATCTTTATCTAAACAAATGTAAATGCTCCCTTTGCTGGCTTTGGAATGGGTGGTCCTTGGCAAGGATGAGCATTAAAAAAATAATTCTGGTGATTTACTCTGTATTATCTGCTAAGAGGCGGAACTACTACCCAGTCTGTGTTGAGGTTGGGATCTGGAGGGGTTATCCCTTGGGATGATTAACCAAATGTTTACAGACTTTAAAGATAGCCTGCTTGGTTGTTTCTTCTTTTTTAAAAAAAAAAAAAAATCAGCTCCTTTGAGGTATAAATGTACTCATTTAAAGTGTACATTTAACCACCGTCTCAGTCAAGATATAGACTTCCCGTACTAGCTCTGTTGGTAAAGAATCTGCCTGAAAAGCAGGAGACCCTGGTTTGATTCCTGGGTCAGGAAGATCTGCTGGAAAAGGGATAGGCTACCCACTCCTGTATTCTTGGGCTTCCCTTGTGGCTCAGCTGGTAAATAAATCACCTGCAATGCAAGAGACCTGGGTTTGATCCCTGGGTTGGGAAGATCCCCTGGAGACAGGAAAGGCTACCCACTCCAGTGTTCTGGCCTGGAGAATTCCATGGATTGTATAGTCCATGGGGTCGCAAAGAGTCAGACACGACTGAGCCACTTTCACTGACTCACTCACTCATACTTGGTTTGATTTTGAAGTGAGATATAGGGTTTTATTTTCTGTTCATCTGGTTTTTATGCTTGCTTCCTAAAGATCTCCCTCAGGATCAGAACTGGTTGGGAAATCATCAAACTTAACGATGTTTATGTTTCCCTCAAGGTCAAAGAGCTAGTGGAAGCAGAGTTGTTTGCCCGTTATGACCGCCTTCTCCTCCAGTCCACCTTGGACCTGATGGCCGATGTGGTGTACTGCCCCCGCCCATCCTGCCAGCTGCCTGTGATGCAGGAACCTGGCAGTACCATGGGCATCTGCTCCAGCTGCAATTTCGCCTTCTGTTCCCTGTGCAGACTGACCTACCACGGAGTCTCTCCATGTAAGGTAACAGCAGGTAGGTTGTAACCATGTGAACTCAGTCTCCCAGCCCTCCTCTGCCCCCTAGAAAAGAGACTTATCACTTCAATTCTTAATTTGGGAGAATTGTGTTCTTCTGTGTTGGTTCAACAGATATTTTTGTGTCAGTTACTGCCTACCTTCTGGGAACATAGCAGTGACCAAATGCCCTCATGGAACTTACATTCTAATGGGGGAGATAGGCAAACCAAATAAATAAGAATATTAGATGGTGGTAAGTGCTGAAGAGGAAAAAAAAAAAGTAAAGCAGAGACAGTGTGCTATGAAGTGTTCTGAAGGGGAAGGCGTTTGGGATTTTATTTAGAAAAACCCAGCAGGCAGAATGGTTTGAGTAGACTTGAAGGAAGTAAGGAAACAAACCACGCAGATACCGAGGGGGAGCATTCTATGGAAGGAATGGCAGGGTAATTTCTATCTATGAATATGGAATAATGTAGATCCTGGCAAATGCAGAGCATCTGAGCTATCACTGTTGTTTCCATGGTGCACACATTTGATCAAGTGCTTTCTCAGTGAGCCCACGGGCCTCAGAATCTTCCTCAACACAGTGCTTTAGAAAGCCACCCTCTATTGAGGTAGGCACAGGAAGTGAAACTTGTTAGCCATTTCTGATTTAGATAAGGATTGAGAAATCAGGCCCTTGACATCAATTTGACTAGACTTTGGTGACTTAGTCTTTCTCAAACTAACAGGGCTGATGATAATAGCTACTTCATAAGGTTATTGTAAGTTTGAAATAACCTATTGTAGTGCTACTCAAAGTTGTTATAGTTGTTATACTGGTCAGTGACAGGGTAAATACAGAAACTGAGAGTCGAGGTTTAAAACTTTTGTAGCAATTTCATTATTGCTGGCCACTGACTAAATTTTATGTCAATCAAATACAATAAAAATTTAGGCTTATATTTTTGGTCTTTTTATTCATTTTTATTGCATGTGAAATGCAAAATGGTAACTTTTAAAAATTTGTATATTTTTATTTTTAAAGTTAATTGATGGATAATTTTTGCTAATTTTTTCTTTACAGCAATGTGGTTCAGTTATACATATATGTACATTCTTTTTTATATTTATATTCTTTTTTATTATGATTTATCACAGGATGTTGAACATAGTTCCTTGTGCTATACAGTAAGACCTTGTTTATCCATTCATATATAACAGTTTGCATAACCCCAACCTCCCCAATCCATCCCACTCCTGGTTTCCTTGGCAACTACCAGTCTGTTCTCTATGTCTACAAGTCTGTTTTTGTTTTGTAGATAGGTTCATTTGTGTCATAGTTTGGATTCCACATATAAGTGGTATCATATGGTATTTGTCTTTTTCTTTATGACTTTATTAGTAGGATAATCTCTAGCTGCATTGATGTTACTGCAGATGGCTTTATTTCATTGTTTATTATGGCTGTGTAGTGTTCCTTTGTACATATGTACCACATCTTCCTTACTCATTCATCTGTTGATGGACATTAGGTAGTTTCCATGTCTTGGGTATTGTGAATAGTGCTGCTGTGAATATAGGAGTGCAGGTATATTTTTGAATTATAGTTTTATGTGGATATATACCCAGGAGTAGGATTGTTGGATCATTTGGTAATTCTGTTTTTTGTTTTCTAAGGAACATCCAAAGTGACTTCCATAGTGGCTGCACCTTTTACAGTCCCATCAACAATGTAGGAGGATTCCCCTTTCTCCACACCCTCTCCAGTATTTGTTATTTGTAGACTTTTTAATGATGGCCATTTTCACTGCTGTGAGGTGGAACCTCATTGTAGTTTTGATTTGTAGTTCTCTAATAATTAGTGGTATTGAACATCTTTTCTGTACCTATTGGGCCATCTGTTTGTCTTCTTTGGAGAAATGTCTATTTATTCATAGTTATTTTGCCCATTTTTCCATTGAGTTGTTTGTTTTTGTTGTTGACCTGTTTTGTTGTATGAACTGTTGGTATATTTTGGGAATTAAGCCCATGTCAGTTGCATCATTTGCAAATACTTTCTCCTGAACCATCTCTTTTTATTGATGGTTTCCTCTGCTGAACAAAAGCTTGTTAAGTTTGATTAGGTCCTATTTGTTTATTTTTGCTTTTATTTCTATTACCTTGGTCAGAAAATATTTTGCCTCTGTTCTCTTCTGAAAGTTTTATGGTGTTATGTGTTAGATTTAAGTCTTTAAACCACAAAATGGTAACTATTAATGCCAGTATTGCTAGTTACTGATTGTTAGCAGAGTATCATCTCCAAGAAAGGACCCTGACAGGAGAGTGAGTAAATGGAGTACTTCCAGTCACCTGTGGCAGAGTCTTGTAGAGGTTATGGGCAGATGGGATGGAGAACTCACCAGAGTATAATATAAGCCTTTACTTGAGACTTTGGTATCCTTATCATTGAGAGGCTGAAGTACCTTCCAGATATTTCACAATGTTTGGGAAAGAAATCAAAGATAGACTTTGGGGGCTTCAGCAAAATTGGGAATCTCTTTCTTAATCTCTTTATCTATATGTTAGATATTACCATACAAAATATATGATACACTAATAATTTTATTATTTTGAGAACATTAGAGCAGCATCCTCTGTCCTTAAGATGTCTCGGAATACAAAAACGCTTTGAACTAGTAGAGGAAATACAAATGAAAGGATTTAAAAATACATGTCTGCTGCATCCCAGTAGAAGTGTTGAAGTCATGGGAATGAACAACACAGAGAAAGGATTCATAGGTGAAGGAAAAATGCAGATATAATTCTGCTCCAGAAGTTGTCTACTTCTAAATAATATGAGGAGGGTAAAATAGTAAAAGAGCCAGAACATTGTTGAGAGAGGTCTTTAATTAATGGTGTTGAAAAGTTAAGGTAATAGAATTGTGAGCAGAAGCCTTTGTTGACAAATAAAGCCTTTGGAAATAGCTGCCCATTCCATGTGATAAAGCAGTAGAAACCAGATTGTTGAGAATTAAGCAGAAAAGTTGGTAGAAAGGACTTTTCCTTTACCTGTTGGTGGTAAATTTTATTCACTGGCTTTTTTCTTATATATGCAGAATTGAACCATTGGTCTTTGCCCTTAAATCAAAGGTGCTTTTGTTTAGTTTGGCAGGTCTTATTATTAAATGGTGAATGATGCTGACATAGTAGAAAATCAACGTCTGTTTCAACCTTTGTGTTATTTGATAAGTCAGCCTTTAAACTGTACTACTAGTTGTACTAGTTGCACAAAAATGTCAACATTAATAAGTTAAAATCAAAGGAAAAAGATAAGCTATTATTCTGTCACATTTAAGAAGTCCAGCTTTTCTACTTGGAGAATTCCTGTCTGTTCTTTGTCTTTCATGCATGTGTAATTTTTAGCTAGTTACAACCTAAATATACTTTTTGCTGGCTTCTGTAATGAGTATTTTAATTGAGTTGTAGCCATCCTAATTATAAGTTTTAATAACTAAATATTATGTCATTAAGTGGTTCTACACATAATTATTCTCTTGGACATTTAATTTGTTTGCCATTGTTATATGTGTCTCTTTGCATATAATTTTACTTTGGATTAATTCCTTATGATAAAATCCCAAGAATAACATTATTGAATAGTCAAAGGTTATGATAATTTTTAATGATTTTTAATGAGCTTTACAAGTTGTATAAAAGTTAATTTTCCATTTCACCTTCTAGAAAAATTAATAGACTTACGAAATGAGTACCTGCAAGCAGATGAGGCCAATAAAAGATTTTTGGAACAGAGGTATGGTAAGAGGGTGATTCAGAAGGCACTGGAAGAGATGGAAAGTAAGGAGTGGCTAGAAAAGAACTCAAAGAGCTGCCCATGTTGTGGAACTCCCATTGAGGTAAAAGTTTGGGGACAGACTTGGAGACCTACCTACTTGCAAGCATGTTATGATTTCCTCAAGAAGCCTTTTAATTTTGAACTAATTAAGAAAACACATTTTGGTATTTATTAAACCTTCTTGGAAGATTCAAATTTACTACTAATTATTGTTACTGATATTAAATATATGTAGACTTCCCTTTTCAGAGTGCTTTTCTACAGTGATGGTTTTTCTCACCTTGTATCCACCTCAAAATTGAATGAGTTATGAGGAGGCCATACTAGAGCTATAGTCAACTCAACTCATCTATGTTTTTTTTTTTTTTTAAAAAAAAAGGCTGACTTCTCCAAACTATTTATCCTGGAATTTAACACGTCTTTTTAACAAGTTCCTGCTTATGAAATACAGATATAAGTCAAAATAGACAGATAAATCTATTGCTTCTTGACAAAACCTTAAAAAGGTTTAAAATCAAAATATATGGTTTTGCATTTGATTCTGTTGTTCCAATCCATTATATCTGAGCTAACCTGGATGATGATGCCCTCATTACTCCACTGAGGAAACTGGCCTTCTATTGAACCACTTTGACATGCCTCAGCTCTGATAGAATGGGAGACTTGGGTATCAAATGTTTACTTAGATTTATGTAAAAAGCTTAAATCCCACATATTAAAGCCAAACATTTTCATATCAGTCTAACTACATAATTCACGTATACATGTTTGGATTGTTTTTACTGTTTATCAGAAGAGATGTTGCTTAGTATCTAAGTATTTCCTGTATTTCACTTGTAATGCCAAAGAGTTTAGGCATTAATATTTACCAGTGTACCAATGTGTGTTAACCTGTGTTTCTCAACCCTGCATTAGAAAAGGGAGACGATGAGAATGTTGTACCAAATCATTTTGTCAAGTGCATTTCTCTTTTGCTTTTACAACCTTGATATTTTTCTCTCTTTCCCACCAGAAATTAGATGGATGTAACAAGATGACATGTACTGGCTGTATGCAGTATTTCTGCTGGATTTGCATGGGTTCTCTTTCCAGAGCAAACCCTTATAAACATTTCACTGATCCTGCTTCCCCATGTTTTAACCGGTACGTTTACACAGAACTCCTAGTCTCAGCAGTTTTTGGTACTTGATTTGCAGACCACGAGCCCAGTAAGTTTTAGCTTTGGTACTTTGTTTATTTAGAGGATTTTCTTATATTTTTAAATATTTTCTTATATTTTCTTTCATATATTTTTCATATTGTTCTTTCATATATTTTTTAATATATTTTCCCCATATATGCATTTTCTTGAAAATGAGTTTTATGATGAAAATATACTATCTGAAGATTTTCTTTAATTTATTATCCTCCTCAACTTTTTTAGTGAAAAATTTCAAACATACAGAAGAGTTGAAAGGATAGACTATGATATCTTTCACCAGAATGAACAATTGATAATATTTACCATATTTGTTTTCTAAATTTATTGCTTAACTACTTGACCATAAGTTGGAGATATAGTGTGTCATCTCTATATACTTCCACACATCTTTCCTAAGATAAGAAAAGTCTTGTACGTAACAGTAATACCTCAAAAAATTTAACAATGGCATACTGTCATCTAATAAAATATTTAAGACTTATCAACTATTCATAAAAATATCTTTTAAAGCTGTTTTATTATTCCAGGATCTAATCAAGTTTAATTATTTTATTTGATTCTGTTTCATAATAGAGAAAAGTATTACCCACTTTTTGTGTTTGTATTGAGTGAACATTGACCTTTTGAAGAGTCCAGGCTGTTGTCCTATATAACCTTACCTCCTGGAGTTTTGTTTCTCCATGGTGCCTTTTAGTTTGCTTCTCTTTCCTCTCTATTTTCTGTAAAGTGGAAGTTAGCTGTAGAATGGAGTTTGACTAGATTTAGAGCAACATTTTTAACAGGAATACTTAACAAGAGGTGGTGTACTTCATGTTGTATCACGTCAGATCCATAATGTCAGGCTCTCTCACTATTAGCATGATGTTCAGTTCTATCATTTGTTCCACTGTAAAGGTAAGGTTTTTCTTTTGTTATTAGTGAGTGATCTGTGGGGTGATTCCTTGGCACAGTGTGAATATTCTATTCTCCACCAGCTTCAGTTTCAACATCAGTTGATAATCTTAGTTAATAGACATCTGTGGGGTACCTTCAATCAGTTCTTGACGTTATGAAACTATGAGTTGAAGAAACCAGCTCTGCCTATGAACCACTGGAAATAAAAGTGTTGAAAATACAAATGCTAAGTAACATAAGAGGAGGAAAAGAAATTGGCAACTGTAAAACACTCTACTGGTGGAGAGTACAAGCACAGTGAAGATGGAAAGGATGGAGTGATTAGTATGTAGTAAAGTTACAGTGTTTTGAAGGAGTGTAGCTTCTAGACTGCCTGAATTTTTCAATCTTGACTTATTCCACATATTATACACATTGAGTGTCAGTTTTTGTGATACCTGTCTCCCACTGTCGTTTCTCCTTGGCCCTTGAGAGTTGTCAGGATCCTTAAAAAAAGGGTTGTTCCTATAAACTTTAAGGTAGCTTGTTTAGAAGGATTCACATTTCAGCCCTTCCCAGTAGAATAATTAAAGGAAAGGAAAAGATATACAAAGATGTTATCAGAATAGTGCAGAAAATATATTTGAAAAAAGGAAAGAAATTATATTCAGTTTCTATCAGGTATATTAAAATGCACCTTGTTTTATGCGTCCAGGTTGTTCCATGCTGTGGATGTTAATGGAGATATTTGGGAAGATGAGATTGAAGACTAATTAACTTCTACTGCTCAAGATATGGAAGTGGAATGGTTTGCCCTAATCTTTTGTCAAGTATACAGAGTAACTTTGCAGGATATTTAGGGTGCCATTGATCCAGTCTTCCTGTGTAGAAGATATGGAGGAATAAGGTTTTATTTTCACGTGGTACTACTGATTAAGGCACATGTATACATTTTTTCATCACAGCATAATTGAAAAAGTATTAAGCCAAAGGTTCAGAAAATGAAAAATAGAAAATATTAATATTACAATGTGCCCGAAGCTTTGAATAGTTAAAAATTAAATATTTATTTTCTTCTCCAAGCTTTAGGGAAAGAGAGATGGGTCAAGAGTTAAAGACCTTTTTATCTCTGAGAAGCATCCCTCTAAGACATTCTGTGGGAGCTGTCTCAGTAGTACTCCTTAACACCTGGGGTGGGTAGAAGCCTTACTAAAATTGTGCCGAGAGCCTGATCTTATTTACTTCATATTACATTCTTTCCAACCTGAATTTCTGCTGATTTTATTTGGAGGAAGCCCTTTACTTTCTAACTGATTGGATGGCCCAGTGTCATTTTGATCTGCTGCTTTTCAGAATAGAAATTTACAGATAATTTAAAAAATATTTTTTAGTACATAAACACTGTAGGTCACCTGATATATTTATCAGTGGTCTATAGTCCACTGGTTTTGAGCCAAGTCTAGAATTTATTGATAGTGGCTTAGAAGAATTTCAGCCCTTTTAAACTTTGCTGTTTCTTCTAGGCAGTAGAGCTTAGATTCAGAATGACTTGTCTTTGCTACCTTTTGTTCTACATTCTCTCCGGTTGACCCTTGCCCTGTCTTTCATTGGTAAGGACAATTTTAATATTAGCTCCAAAAGCTCATAGTTTTATTTCCCCTGCTGGGATAGGAGAAAGCCTAATATGTTCCCAAGCTGAACTTTAATTATCTGCGTTTTGAACACTGCACCACCATAGTTCCAGTGCTAAGTTTCTGAATTCTTTTTAAAGGGCTTCTCTAATGTGCTATGGAAATTTGTTTTCCTATCCTCTTTTTTTTTTTTTTTTTTTTGGCATCAGCACTGTTCCAGGGGATGATTTTGGCTTGATACCTAGATCCCTGTTCTTGGGTTTTGTTGGCTTTTTGAAAAATTGTCTTTCCTTATGGTTTGGTGAGTGGGTTGGTAGCAAAATAAGATTTTGGGTAAAAAGGACAGAAGAATTGAGCTATAGCTGTGAACATGTTCTTTTTTCCTACCTTGTTATTGAAAATTGGAGAATCACTTTTAACCATTTTACGTGTGTATCCAAAGAACGCGGACTGTTTCTGGTTTGTTAATGAGGATGCTAAATCTTAAAAATAAAAATTATTTAAAACTTGTCTTATAATTAGAGCAGAGTTGCTGCTGTGTGTTCTGTCACCAAGGCAATGATCACATTTAAAAACTATATGGTGTATAACACATATTGTTAAAGTGAGCAGAAGAAAGTGATGGAACAGCATCTCCTCTTTTACCTAAGCTTGTGACTGAACTTAGATTTTAGGGCCCATATTTTGTTTAATCTACATGGACTTCAGTTCAGCACATTTTATATAAGAGCTAAAGTTAACGTAAAAAATAAGTTGAAGATAAATGGAAATTAAAACAACTAATTACGTATAGTACATACTTAAGAAGACTGGCTCTTCTCAATGACGGGGTAAGATTGTTCATTTCCTACCTTTCACTGGTAGCCTCTCAGAAGCTCTTAGGTTCATGGGCTAATTTGATGTTGCTAGGGGTTATTTGGGGCTGTTGGACATTATGTTCATGATGTATTGAAAGTAGGAAAGACGTCTTAGTTTTGTGAAAGAAATGACAGGATTTTTCTCTATGATTTAAAAAAAACACAACAGGTCCTTAACCTCAAAGACTTGTTTGTTCAACTGAGTGTTTTTTCTTTAGGTACAAGATCTTCACCCTTTAATTTTCACAAAGACAGTAGGACTTATAGAGTCTTATTTTTATTAATTTTTTTAATTTACTTATAATTTGCCAACCTGATAGGGCAAAATGGCACACAATTAAAATTTTTTTGCATACACATTGATTACTAATGAGTATAATTTTTGGAAATTTTCATTCTGTGAATTGTTAAGTTCCTTTGAATTTTTAAAAAATTTTTATTGGAATACAGTTGATTTACAGTGTTGTGTTAGTTTCAGGATGAAGGCCTTTTTTACAGTTGGGCTGAGATTTGCCATAAATTGATATGGACCTTATGAGTCCTTTTGATGGGAATGAGAAAGCAGAGGAGGATCTCTTTGAAGATTGCTAAAGCAATTTTGAAGAGGGTGCATCCCTTGATTTTATAGAAAAGGTTTAGATCTAGAACTGATAAATGAAAACAACCTGCTAAATAACTTTTTAAGTCAATATAAAGCTTTTGTGACTTTTAAAGCTTGGGACTGAATCAACTTAAGGGCCTGCTTTTGTCACTTGAGGTAAATCTTGTCTCATTCATTTTTTCTAAAGTAAACGTTTTGTTTTAGATTTTCAGAAAAATTACAAAGATAGTACAGAGTTCCCATCTACTCTACACCCATTTCCTTACTTTTTTTTTTTTTTAATGTGGACCCATTTTTAAAGTCTATTGAATTTGTTACAGTATTCCTTCTGTTTTATGTTTTGGTTTTTTTGCCTCAGGGCATGTGAGATTTTAGCTTCCCAACCAGGGATTGAACTTGCAAACCCTGCACTGGAAGGCGAAACATTTCCTTATTCCTTTTTTTTTTTTTCATTTCCTTATTCTTAACATCTTATATTACTATGATACATTTGTCACACTTAATGAACAGTGTTATTAACTAGTCTGTATACTTCTAATTTCCTTAGTTTTTTTTTTCCCTAGACACTTTTATCTGTTCCAGGATCCCATCTAAGATACCACATATTACTTTTAGTCATCCTGTCTCCTTAGACTCCTCTCAGCTATCACATTTTTATTAGTAATATTACATAAACATTGTATCTTAATGCACCTGTATTGGTCAGAAGCCAAAAATTTTTTCCTGAAGACTGATTACCTGTTCTAGGTAGGCTCAAAAAATCAGTGAAGTTCTTTTTTGGTTGAGGTCTTTTTCTATTTTTTTCTGAGGACACTGGCTATCTCTGGAGTTCTGGGCTGTGTGCCTGTTATGGTCATTTTTCTGCTCAGTTTCATAAGGAAATCATTAAACATTGGACAAGTTGATCAGACTTGTGGGTCATCTGGACTCACAGAGGCTCTGCGCTAGTGTGAGAAGATGAGCCCTGCCACCTCAGCTAAATACTGCGTTGAATGAGTGAACATCTAGTGGCTGCGTGCCTTCCTGTTGAGGAGATGGGTAAGAGAGAAAACAGTTGGCAGCCATATTCCCAGACCTATAGTATTATCAACAAGGTCATTTTTTAGTAAAGAGGGTTCTCATTTTTTTTTTTTGGTTCTCATTTACATTAGAAATTCATTAATATGCCTACTTTTTAAGAGAAAATTAATCAAATCTGATAATCATAAAGTCCTTCATATGGTTGCCTGATCTAGAAGGGGATTCCAAAATTTTGACTGGAATTTTGGAGAGCCTAACATGTATTAATTTTTAAAGTAAGTCATAAGCATCACCAGCAGGTGGCAATAGTTCCCATGGTATAAATGCAATAACTGGTTATGACAGGGGTAGTATTTTGTTGTAGAAGCAGACATATTTCTGGGGTTTTAATTTTTCTCATTGTGTTTCATTACAGTCTGTTATACACTTTGCTAGGTAGAATAACATCTGATGATACCAGCAAGGCAGGAACAGCAGTATTACCAAAGACTATAGGGCCACTTAAAACTGTACTTGAACCATAGTTGACATCCAATTGTGATGTGATATTAAAATGTCACCTGATAGTAGTGCTTGCCTGAAACCACTGAAGTGAAGAAATTTAAGTTATATCTAAGACCAAGGAATTTTAAACTGGGGTGCCATCTCATATTGGTGAGAGTGGCTAAGTAGTGTGTTCCCTGAACTTTGGCTCATTAAAAGTAAACACTGGCCTGCAGGCCAGGTTGAGAGGTTGTGGTCAGAAAGCTGTTTATAATATCAGCTTTGAGCACCTATAGTCTAGTGTCTACATAATTACTCAAGTAGCCTGAAGATTTACCACTCCAAATACCACCATATTTCTCTGAGCCAGAGGATGCTTTGGAAATCATTGTGCACATTGAAAACTTAGTGAGATCTGATGCCTAAGTTGGTAAGTACAGTCAGCATAGTTATTTCTTTTCCTTGACTCTCTTATTTTCTTCATTGAATCAACAAACTAAGCTAATATTAATATAAGCTAAATGCATATAAATATGAGATGATTGTGTGTCTTAATTTCAATCCCATTCCAATACAAACTTGTTGTGTTTCCTAGTATTTTTTCACTCATTTAATGAATATTTATGAAACACCTCACAATAGGCCTGTAGCCATGATTAAAGCAGATATAAATCTCCTTGCCCTTGTAAAACTTAAATTCTGGTGGAAGGAAACAGACACTAAGCAAATTACATGATTTTTCAGAAGATAAGCACCATGGAGAAAAGTTGGAAGAAGGAATAGGGGAGGCTATTGGGGAGGCTGAGTGATGTTGGAATTTTAAAGAGTGGAGAGGAGTTCATCAGCATAGCCCTTGAACAAAGGCTTGGCAGTGTGGAAGTGAACCTTGTGGACACTGTGAGAAGAGAGTCCAGGCAAAGAGAACAGCAGAAGCAAAGGCCCTGGAGCATGTTAGAGGACTCCGAGAACGGCATGGTAGCCAGTAAGGACTTAGGCAGGCTGAGAAAGGGAGAGTATTAAGAGGTGGGATGGGAGTGGGTGGTGCTGCAGACTGCCTGGGCCTTGGGTGAACTTTGGCCTCTACTCTGAGATGGAAGCCCTTGGAGGACTTTGAAGTGTGATAGTGTCTGGTGTATGAGGGAACAGGGTGAGCAAGGGCAGAAACAGATTAATTAGGAAATGACTGCAGTAACTCAGGTGAGTGGCACTCAGGTGCCTTGGACCAGTGTACCAGCACTTGGAATCTTGACAGATATTCAGATTCTGTACTTCCTTGAAGGTAAAACTAACAGGATTTCCTGATAGATTGGACATATAATGTGAGAAGATGAGACATCAGAGTCTATTTCTAGGTCTTTGTGAATAGGCGATATGGAGAAACCTATAGGTAGCAGAGGTTTGCCAGAGGACTTGAGTTGTGGACAGAAGAATTTGCTATGTCTAATGGTTGTCTCAGTGGAGATGTTAGGTAGGCAGTTGGATATTCTGCTTTTCAAGGGAGAGATATAAATATGGGAGGCTGGAGATGTAAATAGGCTGGAGATGTAAATATGGGAGTCAATGTATAGATGATATTTAAAGCTGTAAGACTGGATGAAATTACCAAGAGAGTGAGTTTTAAGAGAGAAGAGATCTGAAGACTGCATCTTATGACACTCCAAATGCTAAGAATTCAGGGTGATGAGGAGGAACCAGCAAAGAAGACAGTGAAGTAAGAAAACCAGCAGTGTGATGTCCTGGAAGCCACATCAGATGTGAAGGACAGAGTGGTCGGCTGTGTCAGATACTGCAAATAAATCAAGTAATATGAGTTCTGAGAATTGACTTGGCAGTCCATTTAGAGGTCATTGGTGACCTTGGCAAGTGCTGTTTTAATGGAGGGGATGAAAATCTGGAGTGTGTTTGAGAAAGAACAGAGTATTTTCACAGTAATAAATAAAATGAACAAACTGAAAATCAACTTTTCTTAGCTCCACCAGAGAATTGAGGTCACAGGGCAAACTTCCATAAAAACTAGAAAGACAGGAAAATGCAGAAAATACAGGTCTGCTTACCCAAAGTGGAAGTTGCTGGAGGCAATAATTAGGCTTTAAATGAATTGCTAGGGGGCTGAGTGTGGATTAGTTAGAGTTTAAAAGTACGGGGGAGCAATTTGTAACACATACCATATAAATTATTACAACTTAAGAAACCTGGGAGCTCCTTTGAAGGGGACCCACCCATACGTGGGTTTTACCCACAATCCCCTTGCCACTCTGAGGATGGCAAACGAATCTGCTTCTGTCCGGTGTTGGCTGGTGGGGATGGGGGGTGGGCTGGAGGGACTAACTTTTGAAATAACCCCAGAGACTTGTTTCCAGGACAGAAGCCTGCCCTCAAGGAAAATTACTTTGCTGGTGTCTGAAGAGATGAAGCAAGCACCAGAACCAAACTCAGATGTGGCAGAAATTTTAGAATTATCAGAATGGGAATTTAAAACAACTAAGATGAATATGCTAAAGTCTTTGATAGAAAAAATGGACAACGTGCAGGAACAGATGAGGAATATAAGCAAAAA